TGATTTTGCTGAACCTGGCTTTTTTTTTCAGGTAGTCTAACTCTATAACTCTACCAAGACATATGTCAACAGCTTAGATGAACAGTTTTAGGAGGGCTGTGCAGAGAAATCTTCAATACCCTAGTGAGGAGTAACTAATCTTTGTGTCCCACCCAGTGAGTTATATATGCATCCCTGCTGACCATTTCCTGTCTGTTTCTAAGCTTTCCTTGTTGTTTTCTGTCTATCTATTCTAGTTGTTTGTTTGTTTGTTTGTTAGTTTTGAGGGGTTTCTGGAGCGATCCTGATGATCATTGCCAGTGAGGGAGGGACCCCAAAGTCGGAACCAGGCAAAGACCACAGAAAGCTCTTATCCCTAGTTACGAAGAAAATTTATTGTTCTTCTGTTTCTGTGGACCACTCAGTGCTCCTGGTTGTCGTTCTGATGACCTTGGATCCTACAAGGCAGGATTTGGGTTTCTTCCATCCCATGTGGGAGATCCAAATGGAGGTGGGTGACCTCAGAGGTCTCGGCCTCTGAAGGCACTCCATTTCCCCGTTGTCTCCTTGGCAGTTGGGATGTGGTCCTCGGTGCTCATACTGATAATCTTGGATGAGGACCTGAGAGTCTTCAGGGTTGGGATAGGAGCCTCCTCCTGTCTGCCTTCTCCACTGTGGCGTCCCCCCTGCTCTGTGCGTATGACCTCCTGTTAAGAGGTTGTCAGGATCACTCCTGATTTCCCCCATATGCCTTTGTAGTTTTGCTATTGTCTAATGTTGATTCGAGTCTGTTGTCTATGAGTTACCAGTTATGATCGTGATAGGTTATACTTCCCGTCTTCCTCACACCTTCTAGGGTGATGTAAGATTTCTGTCTCCATCCCCATTTCTGAGTAGCATAGGGCCTTGCAAGTGTAGTAGGTTTTAAAATTCTTTGATGTAGATCATAAGCAATCTGACTCATATCAATTGTTGGTTCACTGGTTACTTCACATTATCTTTTTGCATTAGATACAGGCTGTTTGGGTTGGAATAATATTACTGTTTTTTTGGATTAACATCATTTCATAACAACAACAACAACAACAACAACATCAACAACAATTTATAGCACCCTGAAAAAATAACATGCCATTGAGTAACCAACACATGCGTGACAAAAAGGAAACACAGAAGTCTCTTGGGAAAAATGATGCCATTGTATACTTCATGAATAAGTGATGAATTCTACTAGAGAAAAGAGATTATTTGGAAGCAACCAAACTGAGATAAAAACATCAAAACACATGGGATACAGCCAAGAAGCAAACAGACAATCGAAAAAAAAAAAAAAACCAGTATAGATTGGACTGTTGGAGTTACACTCTTGATGTGAGAGAGGATATATGGTATTGTGCATCCAAGGAAGAGTGGTTAAAGAAGCTGTGGTACACCCACTCCAAGGAATATTATTCAGCTATTAAGAAGAATGAAATTATTCTATTTACAACCAGGTGGTCCCGACTAGAAACCATTATGCTCAGTGAAATGAGTCAATCACAAAAGAACAGATTTATATCTTTTTAAAAATCCTTCTTTGTATTAATTAGTTTAAAATCTTTATCAGTTCTTTCCTTCTTTTTTCTTTCCTTCTCTCTCTTCCTCCCTCCCTCCGTCCCTCCCCTCCTTCCTTCCTTCCCTCTCTTCTTCCCTCTCCCTTTCCTCCCTTCCTTTCTCTTTGTTTCTTTCTTTTGTTACAGTTTTCAGACATTAATTGAATGAGTAAAGGAAAGTTAAACTGCAGGTTTTCGTATGTGCCAAGGCGCCTTCTTCATGTCTTTGTTGATGTCTTGCTGTTCTGTCCTGCTGCTAACATGAATTACTTTGCTTGTGGCTCTAATTGACCCAGTAAGAGGGCATTGGCTGGGTTCAGTCTGTCTCAGGGACTACCTGGTTCTGTGGGCACAGAAGGCACTGCTTGCTGTTACCTTTTATAAATAGCCTTCCAAGACCAGCATTCTTGTCCTAAAGTGCCCTTCACTGGGCTTAAAGTCTGCATATTTTCTGCTTCTAAACCTGCCTTTCCACCATCATCTGCTTCTCACTGACCACCTGACCAAACTGTACTTGTAGATTTCCCCTGAAATTGACTTCTGGTTTTAATATAGGGCATATAAATATTATCCCTAATATCAAGTTTATGTTTCTTATGGTAAATGTAATGGCTTTATTTTAAAACATTTGGCTTACATGTATATATCAGTAGTTGAATATGAGATGTAATTAAATGATTTAACTTTCTTTCCCAAAATAGTCATTTGTCTCTAACATATGTATATATTGTTATATACATATTGTTTCTTTTATTAAAGATTTAAAGTTGTATTGCTGTTATATAACACATTTTGATATGAGCTTAAACCTTTTTCTGGGCTTTTTGTTCTGCCCCTCATTCATCTATCAAATCAAGTCAGTGTTACTTTGTTCTTTGTGAAGGCGACTAAGGTATTAAGGGGGTTTTTTGTTGTTGTTACTTCTCTTTTTTATTTTTTGTTTGAGCTGGTCTTAGACATTATTTACTTTAAGATGGAATTTCAAGTGACTTAACCAAGTTTTTTAAAAAAACTTTTTAAAACTGCTGCCTCCGATGCTAACACCTCCTATGGGCACCAAGTTTGGATTCTGGCTGCTCTGCATCTGATCCAGTTCCCTGCTAATGTATCGAGGAAAGTAGTGGAAGATCCTTTAATCGCTGCATCCATGTATGAGTCTAGATGAAGCTCCTGGCTCCTGATTTTGGCCTGGCCCCACTCCAGCCATTGCGCCCATTTGTGGAGTGACTCAGTGGGTAGAAAAACTATGTTTCCATATCCCTCTGCACTCTGCCTTTCAAATAAATAAATCCATTCTTTAAAAAAGTTCTAAACTATTATTTGGTATTACATGTGAATTACTGATTGGGGGTGAGGTTAGCAGACATTATGACATTAATATTTTCATACAGAATCGAAGACTATGAGCCATGTAGTCATAATTTTATGTTTTAATGAGCATGGGGAGCTCATTAAATCTCCTCACATTTAAATGCAAGTTTGTTATAAATTATGTATGTATATCTTGATATGCTAGGGGATTTCAAAAAATTCATGGAAAATGAGATTAAAAAATATATATCCATCTTAGTGTAAAAATTGGACATGCATTTTTATGCATGTATAAAAGTGATGATATGTGTACTGTTAACACTGCATAGATTTCAGTGTTGTATCAAAATGAATATATGCTTTAATTCCAATTTTATGAATTTTAGGTATTCTTGTGCATGTGCCTAATATAAAGATTTATCATGTGCTTATTTGAAAGGCAGTGTGATAAAGAAGAAGGGAGAGAGGAAGAGAGAGAGAATCTTTAATCAAATGGTTTACTTCCCAAATGGCTGCAGCCCAGCTCAATAAATTATAATATTCTGCATTAGCACTGAAAGGTGTGCATCAAAAAATTTTAGTCATATAAAATTGAGTTCAAAATTTTCCATGTTTATTTGGATTCAGCTAGTCTGATGTATAAGGTTCATTTATTAAGGCATAAGGTTTATTTATTTTTTAAGAAAAGGCTTATTTTTATTGGAAAGTCAGAGCACAGAGAGAAATATCTTCTGTCCGCTGAATCACTCCCCAAGAGACCACAACAGCCAGAGTTAGGCCAATCCAAAGCCAGGAGCTTCTTCCAGGTCTCCTGCGCAGGTGCAGGGTCCCAAGGCTTTGGGCCATCCTCTACTGCTTTCCCAGGCCACGAGCAGGGAGCTGGATGGGACATGAAGCATCTAGGATACAGACTGGTGCCTGTATGGGACACTGGTGCATGCAAGGCAAGGATTTAGCCACTAGGCTATTGTGCTGGGCCCTTATGATTCATTATTTATTTACTTAGTTTTGACGTATGAGGATACAACTAAATCATAAAAGTAACCTGATTCTGTTACTGGGTCATTTCATAATTACTGGTATAGTGGCAGACACTGGTAGCCACAACTGAGGATGTGTTTGTTATTTTATATAGTTTGGCTATAAGTTGGAAAAGGCAGGAAATGAACCATATTTCATTTTTCTTTGGTTGAATATTTCTCTATTAAAAGGAAACTCTCATTTGGCTCTGATTCATTAATCGAGAGATAATCTGTTCTTACTCAGTTGAGAGGGACTGTGTGGTATGGGGTTTGTGGTGGGTGGGCAGGGCACAGAGTTAGCTAATTAAGTCTTGGGGGTTTTCTTTGTGTGTTTGTATTACTCAGATTATATTTTGTAACTTCTTAAGTCATGTAGGAAAACTGAAGACTGTTATTAAAAATGTAAATGTCAAAATATATTCTCAGATGAAACCAGTTTGGTGCTGGCCTGTCAAGAGAAGAGAATATAGTAAAGTCTGGGCCCTGTGTAGTAGCCTAGTGGCTAAAGTCCTCGACCTGTGTGCGCTGGGATCCCATATGGATGCCAGTTCTAATCCTGGCAGCTCTGCTTCCCATCCAGCTTCCTGCTTGTGGCCTGGGAAAGCCGTTGAGAAGGGCCCAAAGCCTTGGCACCCTGCACCTGTGGGACCCTGCACCTGTGGGACCCTGCACCTGTGGGACCCTGCACCTGTGAGTCGGGAGCCAGTGGAACTTTGTGCACTTCTCTTTGCTCTTACTCAGTGGCTACATTTTATAAAATCTCAATTATTTATGGTGTGGTTGTGGTACTTTTATGAACTACTTCCTATTGTTACTTGCTTTTTGGTTTGTTCCATGTTAACTGGTATATCAATCAGATTTACTAGTGTGTATAAAAAGAGTTCACTTTTAAACTGTCTTTTTTTGTTGTTTTTGAGCAATTGAGGAATGATTTGCTATTGGATACTTTCTGAAATTCTTCTGGATTTCTTGATTTTACAGACTGGGCTGCAGTCATTTGTGGATTACATCTGCCTTACATCTGCCTATTGAACTATTTTTGAAAAGCGCCAAGTGTCTTATATGCAGAAATAACACTATTTTCTTTCCTTTGTAGTGGTTTGCTGTCTTCTGATTATGTGGAGATTCACTACGAAAATGGGAAACCGCAGTACTCGAAGGTACAGACAGAGCATCCGGGGAGCAGAGCTGCTCCACGCACACCCCTCAGGCATTGTGCTGGTGTTCATCTCACCAAAGTCACCTCTCCTCTTACAAGGATACTCTTTGTAGTGGAGAAAAGTTTACTTACTAGCATTTTAAATGTTTGAGATGACATTAGAGATCATGTAAATTCCATTCAATAGATACGCTTCTTGTTTGGGAATGAGGATTCTGCTGTAAAGGTAATTGGATATTTCTGTCAGCTGGAGAGTCACCTCTTTTAATGAAGGGTTAGTAAGGAATGGGCTGCTTTAGATGATAGCAAGAGATACTATTCGTATGTGATAAATATAGCGGTTTAAACTGGTCCAGGTAAACATTTGAGCAATGGCTGCAGAAATAAACTCTTAACTTTCAGATAAGCAGCCGAGTGCACTGCATCTACGCAATGTCTGTGAATCCCACAGGAAACTGGAAAACAAAATGAAGCTGGGCAATGTCACTGGGATAGTTTTCTCTCCCTAGATTGCTAACAATGGTCGGCATAAAATGGGTACCTTTCTCATATTGAGGCGAGTTGCATAGACAAGAATGGAGATTCCCAGTCTGATGGCCTCTCAGCAGATATTTCCAGGTGGCCTTACTTGTAAATCCAACTGGAGGGCATGGCATGTCAGAGGCTTTATAACTCTGTTTAACACTTTTTTTTTAAATTTGATGTGCATTTCAACCTTTCAATCTTATGGCACCAATAGAGAAATTGCATGAATTATTCCTATTGTTCACCAATTCTTGCCTTAGATTGCACTTTAGGGCTTGTTGAATCCCTGTAAAGGTTAGTGCTGTGCAAAGTAAGCAGGGATGCTAAACTGAGTGCAGAAATGGTGCTTTCTGGCATTTGCACAGACCAGAGCTCCTGGAGCTGTGCCGATGCCCTGGGCGCTGCGGATGCTGACTCATGAGCTGGAGTAGACAAGGCTGCCTGGGAACTTTATAGACTCAGCAGATGAGCACCTTGGCGGGCCATAGTAACCTGAGCCAAGCCTCTCGCCCAGAAATGCAGTGCCATCTTTAAGAAGTAGAACAGCTGATTGGCTTCCAGAGGTCTTCTAAGGTCCTCCAAGGAGGCCTTATCATTACTAAGAAACACTAAATCTTGCAGTGCTTACAGCCAAAATGTAAAGTAAGGACTATTTCATGTCTAGAACAGAGATGTGTTGACTGCAGCTGGTTGTAGTCTTTGTTGCTTTTCCTCTCATTCAAGACCCATTTTCTTGAAGTACTTTATGTGCTCAACATTATTTGCCTCACAGATAATGAATTAAAGGTAATAGTCTGTTTTTTGTCTATATTTAAATATACAACTGTCCCCTCAAATCCACGTTGATGAGCTGCACACTGTTCTGGTAGCAGGATTTAAAAAAATATAACAATGTTATAAACACTTTAGCATATGTTGAATGATCTTCTAAGCTTTTATTAAAAAAAATCCTGTATAATATCCTTTCCCATTCATTTGTTATAGTATATTTTAAAATGCAATATTAATAAACAGGTTACTTATATTTTTTCATCTTGTTTATACAAATAGCTCTAAATACGAGCTTTCGATATATGTTTTTTGACCCATACTGAATAATTGCTTAAGTTTTAATTCTGAAAGTGTGGTTTTCTGCATCAGAGAATTTACACTTTTTTTTAAAAAGATTTATTTAGTTTTAAGAGAAAGTCAGATTTACAGAGAGAAGGAGAGACAGAGAGAGATATCCTCAAAGTGCTGGTTCACTCTGCAAGTGGCCGCAAACAGCTGAAGCTGAGGCCATCCGAAGCCAAGAGCCAGAAGACTCCTCTGGGTCTCCCATGTGGGTACAAGGGCCTAAGGATTTGAGCTGCCCTCTTCTGCCTTCCCAGGCAATTAGCAGGAAGCTGGATGGGAAGTGAAGCAGTGGGGGCAAGAACTGGGGCCCATACGGGATCCCATAGTATGCAAGGTGAGGATTTTAGCCACTAGGCACCACATTGGGCCAAGAATTGATACATTTTTAAAAGATTTTTTTATGTATGTTGAATTTTTCTTTTTGAAAATTGGTATGTTTTATTCTCTTACACCTGCTACAAGTATATGTTTTAAAACATTGTTTAACTGTTGAATAAATACTTTCCATATGCTAGGAAGATTTTCTGTACCGTGTACTAAGAAATGAAATTAATATATAAGAGTGGCTGGCAAAACAATTTTTAATGTATTATGGAAACCTCCTAATCCCTCAAGCTGTTTATAAAAAAAATTTCCACACATGCACACACCCCAGTGTGTTGTTTATATCACTAGAGAAGAAGAGAATCACAGTCTATTTGGCTTTGAAATTATATGAAATTGTGAACATTAGCAGTATTCTGGGAATTCATTACAAACAAAAAGATGAATCCACAGTTTTGAAGAAGATTGGTATATAATTCACAAACTATAAAATGTGCAATTCATTTTCGTTATATTTACTGAATTGTGACAGGATCAACATAATCCAGCTATAAATGGTTCTCATCGCCCCTCAAAGAAAACCTGACCTGTTGTCATTCATTCCCTTAGTCACCTACCATTCTACTTCCTGCTTCGACTTACTCATTCCAAACAGGAGAGAAATCATATAATACATACAACCATCTGAGAGGTCCATTTTTACCAGTTTTAGTTTAACACAAATGAAAAATGGGAATTATAGATATATATTTAATATATGAAAATAAATATACATGTTTATATATTGCACAAAGCATCATGTGCTGATATACACAGAAGCTGTGAGACAGCCACCACACACAATGTTCAGTAGCACTTCTGTCTCCCCAGAGACTTACCATTTTCATGATGAGAACCTGTAAGATTGACTTTTAGCAAGTTTCGAGTACATGATACCATATTGACAGCTGTGGTCATTATGCCGTACACTTCCAGAACTCATTCATCTTGGAAAACTGAGACACTGTACCCTTTCACCCACATCTCAGCTCCTGGCAATCTCCATTTTCCTCTAACCTTTTCAGTTGAACTGTTTAGATTCTGTATTCAGATCCTGTAGTATCTGTCTTCTCAGGCCTGGTCTATTTTACTTAGCATTATGTCCAGGTAAATTCATATTGTTGCAATTGGCAGAATTTCCATTTTAAAGGCTGAATAATGTTCTGATGTGTGTGTATGTATACACACTTGTGTACATTAGGTCTTTGAATTAATAGCCAGTTTCTTTAAAACATTTCTTTCCACTGGGTGATGAAATAAAGAAATGAAGTAATAAAAAAGCCAAACAAAACTTCTCACTGTAAACTACTTGTATTAGATACAAGTTTATCAGGTATTTAAATTCAGAGCTTAATGCTGAAATTACTATCATTAATTATTCAAAATATTGCCCCTTTTGACACCATTCTGAGTACATTTAGATTGTGAGAGAAGCACAGCATTAAAACCAGTCTGACCCATGGAATGAAGAGAATAGACGATGCTGACTCCTCGCAAAGCTATTTTGAGTAGTGTAATTTATACGAACTATTAAAAATTTATGCAGCATTGGTACAGCCAAACTGTTCTAATACTTTATTAATTAAAGTACCGCAGGAAATTTCTTTCCCCATTGGATTTAATGAAAGTAAACACTTCTGTTGTGCGCTCAAGTTTCATAATTATCTGAAATTATTTTATTCTTTTCCTTTTTCTGCAGCATTCTTATTGAGGCATATGTATCCGACTATAGATACTTCCCTTCTATTTCACTTTTTCTGTTAGCTCACAAATTAAAAAAATAGATTGGCATGCCCTGCTAGGTAATTAAGTTGAATTATTTAAATATGTGACTAGACAGTAATAATTTGAGTATGGTATCAGTTTTTATTATTATAATCAGAATCATAATATACACATTTCCTAGTTTCCAGTCTATGTAGTCTGAAATGTTTAGGAGACGTTTAGGAATCAATGCAAATGACCAATTCTTTGTCACCATGAATGTCCAGGTTTCTGGAAAATTCTGAATAACTGATCAGTGGAGCATTATTGTGTCAGATGAGATTATTTAACAGGCAGGAAAGTGGGACAATTTTTTAAAAAAGTAAGTGAAAGAAGTAAGCTCTATTTGCCTTTAAGGGAGTAGAGTTGGTAAGTTCCTCTATTTTGCTTAGGCCGATGATACTGGAACACCAAATGTTTGTTTCCTCCCCAAATTGTTACCACCAGTCACAAAGTTGGTACACTTAGCCACTTCTGATTAGAAAATGGCTTCAAAGATGGGCGTGATTTCAGTATTTGATTATTTGGGGAATAGGCCTGGGGATGTTCTATGGGGCTTTGATTTTGGGACCTTGTGCAGTGAAGGTAGTTTGGTTATTATCTGGCTTGTGGAATCATTAACAGTGTAGCAGGCTGAGAACGGTAAGAGACTTATGGAGAATTTTTTACTTTCCTTGGACCAGCCAATAAGATCCACTTGCCTAATAGGTTTTTTTTTATTATTATTATTCAAAAGGCAGCACTATAGAGAAAGAGATCTTCCAGCTACTGGCTCGCTTCCCAGTTGGCTAATTGGTTGCAGTGGCCAGAGCTGAGCTGATTCAAAGCCAGAAACTTGGAGCCTCCTTCGGATCTCCTACATGAATGCGGGGGCCCAAGGATGTGAACTCCTCTGCTTTTCCAGGCCATAAGCAAGGAGATGGATGGGAAGTAGAGCAGCTAAGATTCAAACTTGTGCCCATATGGAATGCTGGAGCCAAGGCGGAAGCGTAGCTGTGTGGCAGTGCTGGCCCCTGACTGATAGTTTTGGGTTTGAGAATGGTAGTGCCTGTGAGGACACACAGAAACTTGGATCACATGCACATTTAGCGCCTTCTGCTTCTTCCTCTTGTTTGCTTTTTCATAGATCTATGACCACTCACTGGTGATTGATAAATGGTCTGAACCTGTCTTAAATGGAAAGAGAAGTAGAAACTGAGAACCTGAAAATGTAGGATTCAATTTGGTTTGGCTCTGTTTTAAACAGACCCTTTCAGAACTTGGTTCCTATTTGCCTGTCCTACATGGAGATGACAATTATTATGAGGTGGTGGTTACTGAAGATGCCTAGATCCTTGGGTAAAACTGACTACCTGTTATTGTGGACAAATGCTCTGGACATGTCTGTCCACATTGACTCAAGGCTGCAGTACTTGTTACCCAGGAATGCTGCCTCTTCTCTCTTGAAAATCATTTTAAATGAACTATCTCAAGATGTTAATCTGCAGTATTATTTCTAAAATGCTGTATAGGTCTGATGAATTGCTGAATATGTTTTTGCATCTTTTGAAAAAAATATTTGTATAAATGTAGTAATATGAAATAAGGCAATTCCTATAATACTAGTATTGGAAATTGCCAAGTTGCTGATAATGCTTAACATAACATTATTTAGAGAGTAAATCTTCTGATAAACATTGGAGATTGTATAATCCTATAAGGCTCATTTAAGGTCTAGAAAATAGGATGATCCATGTTCAAATAAGCAGAGAATTCAGTACCTTCAGATAGTATCCTGTGTTTATTCAAACAGGCACCAATGATCCTGGGAGTGAACATCAGCCTATGGTTTCTAAGACAAGGGAGTGCTTAGATCTAAGAAAGTACTTGGGAATACTTATAGGGCAAAGAAGAATATTTTTAGTAAGATTGGGAACTATGTTAGCTATTCTTAAGAAAGTCAAGTAAATACAATGATATTTGAGAGCCTCTTAAATAATAAGGATAGACAAGGACTCATTATATGGGAGAATGAGAAAATAAGAAAATGGAGTAAGCAAGAAATGCAATTGTAGTGGCAGAGTCATGAAGCGTGTTTACATTATTACACTACAAGCACAACTGATTTCATCCAGAACTGGTGATGTGTTTGGAATGTGTAGGGGCCAGAAAAATATTCCATATGCTAGGTTAAGATGATTTTTTAATATGAATTTTATTTTTTAATAATGATTACATGGTGGATCAGGGTGGGAAAGATTGAGGTTTAGGGAAAATTGGTGTGCTCATTGCTTCCAAATTTGCTATTTCTTCTTGTTTCCGGTGGAAGGGGAGAGGCAAAAAGGGAAACCACTCACAACTTCCCACATGTCCCAGTACCCAGGGATGAGGAGCCGCCGTCTCATATCAACCCAGAATCTTAAAGTGTACATATTCCAGGGGTTCTGTCTAAGTGGGTTGGATAGTTCTGAAATGCTGCCGATTTCACTGTTCCGAGGATGATGTCACCCTCCCAATGTCCATTGGCTTCAATCAAGATTTTTTGCTGTCATTGTTTGTTTGGGGTAGTTGTCCAGTTAGTTCTGTTCTTCTGCTACAGCACCAAATGAGCTGCCATATTCTCCTTGTACAGCAGGGCCTGTGTCCACTGCTCTGCTTTTTTCATTAAGTAGGATGTATTGCAGGTGAGTCCAAGGACCCAGGCCAGGCATCCCAAGCGTGTCTGGATTCCCCACCCCTTGGGCTCATAAATCTGACACCCACCTAGTAGGTGGGTCCCAGGACCTGTTAGATAGAATACATCATGGTTTACAAAATGGCTGCTTTATGGAAGTGGGGAGGGAGACAGGAAGTTGCTATGCTTTTTAAAATACTGTTTTTTGTAGTTCTACTTCACTTTGAAAACTGAGCTCATATACTGGTCCTGAAAACATAAAAATTAATTGAAAATGATTGGAAAGTAAATAATAAGATTATGTATGGCTGTATGTAAAAGCAGTGATAGACAACATTTTGGGAGTCAGAAAGTCCTTATTTCACAACATCTGATAAGGACAACCCCTGTAGGATACAGTAAAGGGATGTTTAGGTTTCATCGTGCCTTTAGAAAGGCTTTTCTCCTTGTGTAAATTTAATACACAATGACTTGTTACAGAAAAGATGAACAATTGCCCAGTCTCATTTGTGACTTCCTTTGGAGGAACATGCAGGCTTATCAATAACAGTACAGATACATGCTCATCTTTCTTTGTATTTTTTTGTTTGGTTTCTTTTTGCTACCATGGAATGGACCGTGACCTTGACAATACAACCAGTTAAATCTTCTGGTCTTTTGCCCTGTAGGGTGGGGAGCACTGCTACTACCACGGGAGCATCAGAGGCGTCAAAGACTCCACGGTGGCACTGTCAACCTGCAATGGACTGCAGTACGTGGATCATCCCAGCGTCTTCCTTCGCTCTGTGCTGGCTTTCATCCACTCATGCTTTCCAATTTTGTTTTCACTGATATTTGTTTTAGTGACTATTTTGTACCAGATCCATGTTAGGCATTGGGCATAGAGGGATGCACAGGAGGTTAAACTCCCTATTCTCTTGAACATTTAGTTTGAAAGAAATTCAGAGAGTAAACAAATGATTACAAAGATTAATACTGAAATAGCACTTTGGAAGGGTGATTACTGTATAAGGGAAGGGTAAGGATTTAGAGAAGGACCAGACTGACCTAGGAAGGTTTTGTGATAAGTGATCAATCAGATTAGCCTAGAGATGGAAGGAGCTGCTCAGGTAAGGGTTAGGCAACAGGAGAGGAGTTCATGAACTGGCTTAGAGTTGAGCTCTGAAAACACCGTATTTAACTGCCCTTTAGACTTAAATGTAGTGGTGCCTCATATGTACACATCTAATTTTGGCTATGTAATGTTTATAAACAAAATTCTGTGTCTCCAAAAATTAAGTGGGGCTTGTATGAAACAAATCAAACAGCTTGGTGGAGAATCACAATTAACGAAACATAAAGGTACTTCTGTATGTATTTTGCCTGTTTTGAATCAGATGGTTTAAGATTATTTCTGTATTTGAAGGGCCTGTTCTATTTTCTTAAGATTATACTAGATTTGCATAAGTACAAATTTATAGTAGTTGTACATGGTTCTGGAATTATAACCTGAGCTACTCCCTCTGCACATGTAGTCCTGGCCTAGCTCAGTCTTCTGATTTGTCAAGGTATTTTCAAAGGTTGATTGTATCAGATGTAATTCATAGGAACACAAGGTATGCCTTTACCCTTTTGATAGTCTGTGTGCTGTGTTGGCCATAGGATTCGATATACATGTTTAAATTGTATCTGGGGATGTATAATGGTGTTTGTTCAGCTACACTCATTCTTATGAAGGCCCAGTAATTAAGCTCGCTAGTTGCTTTCTACTGTTGACCATTTTTATTAATTCTCTCATTATGTGGTTTCCTGTGTTACAGTGGTATGTTTGAAGATAATACCTATGTGTATATGATAGAGCCACTGGAGCTGATTCATGATGAGGTGAGTCTGGGACATTTCTTTCTTTATGGTGTTTTTCTTTTGTAGCATCTTTGCTATTACACAGGAAAGAGAAATTAAATATAGTAACACCCCTTGAGCCACAATGTCACTTACCTGCCAACAAAAAATTTAAATGGAAAATTTTCAGAAATAATCAGAAACAGTATTCATGTAGTTAGTGTCCTTAGTATTCCATTTCATTACGTGTATTGTTGTTAGTCTCTTATTGGCCCAATGTATACGTTTAGCTCCATTACAGATATGTATGTGTAAGAACAAACAGTGTATGTAGGGTTTGGTGATGCCATTTGTTTCAGGAATCCACTGGGGGTTTAGAACATACTCTTGGGAAATAAGGCTCGTCTCATGCACACATTTCAAAGTATTTAAACATGCCATCTTATTTTAACGTTAGATTTGTACCATGAGTTTTGATGTTTAAGTTGCACATTCCAGGTCTGTATACTTGTAAGGGATGCTAAGAGACACCAAACCTGGATTTTCTCAAGTGTAGGCTAATTCTTTCCCATTCTTGGGGAGAAAGGAAAGATCACTGCGTATTGCAGAAAATAAGTTTTCATTCCTGATGTCTTTATCTGATTGTGTGAACTGTGAATATGTAGATAACTTTTTTTTTTTTAGGCCTAGTGACTCTTCAGTGGGTACATTTGTGCACTGAACCATGTCTATATAATAAGAGTGTTTATTTTTCTGTGGGGACAGGGAAGAAAACACTGTTTAGTCATACACAAGCCATGAGAAGAAACCACCTAGACAAGAAATTGCATAGTCTAATAGAATTGCTTGCTAATGGATCAAATGCGCAACCAAATGTGAAATGCAATACATATTAGTCAAACATTATATTGAAGATTTACTGAATGATGATGCTGTTTCAAGTAGTGGGATATATCAGTGGCAAAAAGCCTGAGTCTAATGGAGGTTATGGTTTTCAGGACAGATGGAAGTATGCAGGGTGAATAAGTACATGCGGTGTGTTAGGTCGTGATCCTTGCTGAGAAGGAAACGTAGAGGGAGGCGCATGGAGAGTCGAGGTTTTATATTCCCTGTCCATGGAAGGCCCTACCGAGAAGATGAGCTTGGAATAAAAACCTTAAGGAAACAGATTTCTGGAAGGGCAGTCGGGGGCTGAACACACCTAGGTCTGGAGGTTAAGGTGTGGCTAGTGTATTCCGGGATCTGCACGGTGCCTGTGATTAGGTTGGGGAAGAGTAAACAAGGGGAGATAGGAGTGTAATGAAGCAGTATTAAAAGGAAATCAGGTCAGTTGAAAGAACTGCTAATGATAAACAACAACAACTAACAGGGATGGGAGTTGGCACAGTGGTTGTACTGCATCCCGTGTGATATCCTTTAATGGAAGGCCTGGGTTTGAGTCCCAGCTCTGCTTCTCACAAATGGGCACCCTTGGCTCAAACACTTGGGTACCTGCCACTTGTGTGGGATGCCTGGATTGAATTCCTGGCTTTTGGATTTCATGTGGCCCAGCCTTGACTGGTGGGGCATTTGGAGAGTGAATCAGCTTATATATAAAATGATATAAAACAAAGTGAAAACAAATAAATAAAAAATATTAAAAGAGCTTTTAATGTGAAAATTATATTTTGAGTATGATTAAATTGAAATATTACACTTCTTTAATAAGAAGCAGAAAACATTTTTTTTCTCTTTAATGGTTTCAAATTTAGGTAAAACAGATTCTATAACATAACCATTTAGGCTATCGATTATAACAGTTGAACAGATCAGCATTTTTCTTGGCTGTGCAAATGTATGGGTCAGTGTGGAATAAATATCCAATTTAATGTAAGCAAGTAAATTTAAATTTCAAATGGTTAATGATTGAATTAAACTCATACTAGTTCTCAAGTGATAACAACAAAAATTACCAGATAATGCAGAAAAATCAACTTATGTAAAGACATGTTTAATAAAATCTCTTTACTTTATTCACTGGCAGATTGGTAACCTGTTTGTGGCAAAATTATTTTAGTCATTAAGTAAAATATTTAGTTTTGATTTCTGGCCATGACTAATGACATTGTTATCTCTAACAAAAAAAAAAACAAACAAAGAGCAAAGACAAAGTTCAAAATAATGATTCCAACCAGAGTTTTTTAAAAAATAAAATGTTCATTTTCATCTACTAGAAATAAACAGAGTCAGAGAGGAAAAGAGATGGAGAGAGTGGGCCCAGTGCAGTGGCTCAGTGGCTAAATCCTTACCTTGCAAGCACCGGAATCCCATATGGGTGCCAGTTCATGTCTTTTCTACTTTACTTCCTTTCCAGCTCCCTGCTTGTGCCCTGGGAAAGCAGTCGAGGATGGCCCAAGGCCTTGGGACCCTGTTCTCGTGTGGGAGACCCGGAAGAGCTCCTGGCTCCTGGCTTTGGCTCCGTTGTTTTGGCTGTTGCTATCACTTGGGAAGTGAACCTGTGAATGGAAAATCTTTCTCTCTGTCTCTTGTTCTCACTGTAATTTTCCTTTCCAATGGATCTTTAAGAGAAAAAAAAAGAGAGAGAGGTGGAGAGAATGATCGTCCATTGGCTGGCTCATCTCCCAAATGCCTGCAGTAATGGAGCTGGACCAGGCAGAAACCAGGAACCAGGAACTCCATCTCTCCTTCATGAGTGGCAGGAATTCAAGCACGTGAGCCAATGGCTGTTGTGTTCCAGAATGATTAGCAGGAAGCTGGATCAGAAGTGGACGTTCCAGGACTTGACTGGCACTTGGACATGGAGTGTAGGTGTTCCAAATAATAGTTTAATCCTCTGAGCCCGGCAGCGTGGCCTAGCAGTTAAAGTCCTTGCCTTGAACGCGCCGGGATCCCATATGAGTGCCGGTTCTAATCCTGGCAGCTCCCTGCTTGTGTCCTGGGAAAGCAGTCGAGGACAGCCCACTGCTTTGGGACCCTGCACCCACGTGGGAGACCCGGAAGAAAGTTCCTGGCTCCTGGCTTTGGATTGGCGCAGTGCCGGCCGTTGCGGTCACTTGGGGAGTGAATCATCGGATGGAGAATCTTCCTCTCTGTCTCTCCTCCTCTCTGTGTATCTGACTTTGTAATAAAAATAAATAAATCTTTTTAAAAAAAGTTTAATCCTCTGCAACTCCACATCTGCTCCCTAAGCGCTTTCTAAATGTGTAAAAGAGGTAATTTTTCTCTACATCTCTACTAGAGTGATTTTTGTAGATTCAAAGGATTAATAAACATGTAACACTCATTTTTAATGTAAATTGTTGAAAATATTTATGAACTATCATTAACGTAAGGGCTGTTGAATTAATTTACTTGACCTTGTTATACCTGTGAGCCTGTTGTTCAGAGGCTGACTGTCTTGTCTGCCTTTCTTCCTCCTGTCTTTTTGCAACGCTTCATTCTCATCCTCCCCGTGAGTAGAGGAAAAGGAGCAGCATTGGAAAGCTTTAGTTTCTAAAATTGCATTGCTGATCCAGGTGTAAGTTTTAATTATTTTAGGTATCTTTTCACCTGATGCCTGAATTAAGAGCTTACTGTAATTGAATGAAATATTTTGGAGGTTGGATTTATTATTAATAATTTTCCTGTGTTTTGCAACCAGTTAAGTAATAAGAATAGGATACTTTTAATGAGAATCCATGTTTTCTGTCACATTAAAAAAATGGAATCGGAAAACTGTATGTAACTTATTGAGAATAATTTCATAAGTATTTTTATGGTTATAAACACTAATACTTTACAGGAAGAATCAGAGACACACAGGGTGATCTTCTGTCTGTTGATTCAGCCCCCAAAAGCCTGAAGCAGCCAGGAGTGGTTCAGGCCAAAGCCAGGAGCCAGGAAGCAGGGATCAAACTACTTGTCAAACACCGTCTTCCAGGATGTTATTAGCAGGTGGTTGGACTCAGGAGTGGAGCCATGATAGGATGTCCCAACACTGTCATCCTTCTGGGACACACAAATGCCCTTCTTCCATTTTTCAATGATGCATTCTGATATATATATATATATATTATATTATATATATTATATATATAATATATTATATATTATTATATTATTATATTATATATATTATTATATATTATTATTATATATTATATATTATATATTATATATATTATTATATATATTATATATATTATATATATATTATATATATATTATATATATATATAATTAGATCAATATTTTGTAGTATAATTTAACTTAGTAACATAGCCCTTAGTGTCTCAGTGTCTTTATAAAGTGGGGTTAGAATGTGCAGTGTCTGAGGTAAGACATAAATTGGGGAATGTGTGGGTAAACATTGCCTGCACATAATTGTGCACTCAACAGTTGGAGTACTGGCAAAAATAGCAACGGTAACAAGGCATTCCTGAAGGGATGATTTCTACGACAAAGAGTTCCAAGTATTTTCAATATTTTACATTGCTAAGTTTCTCTCTCAAGCCATGTTAGCAGTTTACTTCCACCAGCCATGTATGTGAGTGATTTTGACTGTAATTAATTGTGGATATCACCATTTTTTAAACCTTTGTCAACGTCAAATTTTCATGATTAAAATGTGCATTTCGAAGTCTTGAAGTACTTAATGTTCTTTCAAATACTTATCAGCCTTTTGGATTTATTTCTTTCTTCTGAATAGTTCTATTCATGGCTTTGAGGAAAGTTAAGTTTGAGGAGTAGCTATTACAACTATGCTTTTATCTAAACTATGGCAATTGTGTGATGTTCCATTTTATTTAAAATTATAATTTCAATAAGGCATATTTTTCATTTTGGAGAGCTAAAAATTGAAATAAATGTTCCCACTTCGGTAAGATCATTAGAGAAAATTCTTACACTATTCCATAGAGACTTGTTCATGCCTCACCTTTTTCCGTTGCCTATAATTGTTTTTGTTGCAGAAAAGTGCTGGTGGTCGACCACATGTAATCCAAAAATTCATGGCAGGACAATATTCGAAGCAAATGAAGAATCTCAGTAAGTTTTAAGCACAGTAGCCATTGTATTTCATGTAGTTGGAGTTTTCGTGCGGTGCAGCTTGAGTGATAGACAGCCTTATTGGAAAGCAGAATTGGTGTCTGTGAGCTGGGCTGAGCACCATGTCTGGGCTGCGGAGGGAACTGTGGCTTTCATGAAAAGAAGCATGGAGAACTGTTTCAGTGGAAAGACTGAAACATGAAGTGCTGAAGTGAGCCTTGTTGGCATCTGAGAGTATAGCTAGATGCAACAGAAGGATTTATAACAAGATTCTTCTGTAATTTTTTGATGTTTTGATGCTTTTTAGCCACCTTGCCTCACTTCCCCTTTGGGCTCTGCTCCTGAGGCATGTCGAGCATGCTAATGATATAAAGACTTCCTTGAGTTCATCGAATGAATGACGCTGTTCTTGTCTATTAATGCCAAACATCTTGAATGATTTAGACGGAACAATATGTCATATTTTAATTTAAATTCTAAAATGAAATAAAAACAGTTTTCTTGCATTTTTTGGGTATTGTCAAGATTGTTGATCAAATGTGGATCCTTTAATGATTCTCAGATGACTCATTATGGCTGGAAGATAATTATATGTTTGTGTGACCATGAGAGTGTGAAATGTGTAATGATCGGTATGTTTTTTTCGCTTTAGTTTATCTTGCCCTTGAAATGACACAGTATCAATGCCACTCTCCGTCCACACTCAGAAAAACATAGTTCCTATTGGAATACAGTCAGGCATACATGTTAGAATTCATTTTTCTACCACACAGGTATGGAAGGCAGTGACAAGTGGCCCTTGCTGTCTGAATTACAGTGGCTGAAAAGAAGGAAGAGAGCAGTGAGTGTGAGTATGGCCTTGAGCCGCAGGTGGAGATAAAGTCTTAGTTAAGCCTGGGTCCTTCATCACTCAGGATCTGTGTGCACCTCCAGCAGTTTAGACTCCAGAGCTTCTCCCTAAAGCAATAGCAGACCAGGAAACCCTTTGGATCTGGACCTTATCCACACAGTGCTTTTCATTAGTCTTCCTATTAGTGACCCAGACTGATTGTGATGATCTGTAAGTCCTGATGTTGTATAAATACATGGTTTCATATGAAAACTATAGTGTAACACTTTTCTAGTGGAAGTATAGGAGGCCTCGTTTGGGGGTAAAGAAAAATATGCGGCTTATATAGCGTTATGTGAACCATTGTCAATGAAAATGCAGGTGGAGGAATTCGACTTTGAAATATTGGTAATTTTGCTTATTTGTATGTTTTAAATTAAAAACTCTTGTTTTACGCTCAAATTTGAAGCAGGATGTAGTTTTCAGAACGACATGAATCTGTTTCACCATTACTAATACGACAATGACTAAATAAAAAATCATATAATCCAGTAGTCAGTAACACCTCGCATGTACTGATAAGGATATTTGAGTTCATAACTGAAAGTATCCTTAGTATTTTTCGTAATCAGTCAGTAAGCTGTAGTGGTGGGGGATGATCAGTAATTCATGGTCAATCTATGAACCAGGAATCAGTTCCATGGATTACCGCGTACATGTTAATTTGCTAGATAATTTGAGTAATTGTAATAGTGGAGATTGAATATATTTGATAATGCCTTGCTGAATATATTATTTGGTCAAAAAATTACACCACTAGCCATCAAAGCCATTTAAGTTTGAGTCATTATCTCTCTTTTTTGAGCTGCTATTAGTATTATGGTTACTTTGGATATAAAATGCTTTTTTCGGACATCTAGATGCTATTTTACTTGCTCCTGAAGGTGCAGTTGGTATAATGACGTTTGAATAGGCTGTTTTCCTCCCACCTCAGTCCTCCCTCTCCCCTCCCTTGCGCCTCCCAAAGGTAACCGGCATACACAAGGAACAGGAGCTATTAGTTTTCCAACCATAAAAAAAGAAGTTTAAATAAAAAAAGTAAAACCTGGGTCTTTTTTTTTTTTTTCCTTTTTTGAAGTTATTTTCCATAACACAGCTTTGTAGGTATAGGGGTTCTTCTCCCCCTCCTCTCACACCCGAGTCCCTGTTTTTCCATTTTCCTCGCCTGCCATTTCCCTCTGTAACAGTTACATTACAGGTTTAGCTTTCTGCTGTTTAAGCATATCGCGGCATGTTGGGTACAGGCAAAGGTGAAAACCCCAGAATCACGTAAAGGTATATTTATATGTTTCCTTGGGGGTTCTACTTTTATGCCTGCTTAGTGACACATACCGCCAAGAATCCTTACAACCCAGTATGCTGTTCTCCACTGTACAGTTCATCTATGAGAATATATAAGATGCAAGGGATTTTTAAAAAGCTAGTGGAAAATGCATATTATGCAAAAATATTCATGGACTAGAAAAAAGCTTGCAAGCACAATAAACACATGTTTTAATTTCATTTTCCTTGAACTTCAAAAAATCCCTTTGCATTATGTTCGTATTCTTTAATATTTTCTTGTAAAAATTGAAATTTATTATATTTAGCATTTCATAAAGGTCAGGATTTGTTCCTTTGAGAAGTTGTATAGTTGAGGATTGGACATGATTAAGAGAATTTCACACTGTTGAATTAATGTTTCTTTGACTTCCTTGACCTTGTTTGAGAAATACCTAGAGTAATTAAAATTTATTCTGTTCTTATTACATAAATTTTAAGTAGATTTTCTTTAAAAATAAAAAAATTAAGAATATCTATATGAGTATGTTTTCACACTTGAATACCGAGGAAATTCAGACTTATTTGTTTGAACAGAATTATGTTGTACATTTTTCTGTCAAATCGCTTTATATATAAAATTAATCAGAAAATAACATAGCTGTTTCCTATCTTCATGAGTATTTTAATGGAAATTTTAAATTTATTTATTTTCAGAACACTTAAAAGCCTACCACAGTTTGTGGTTATTCTTCTGTTAGGTTTTCTTTTTATAATCAACTTTCTTCTAGAGTGTTGATAAAGTAGGAAACCAAAAATTCTTCTAAAATTCGAGTATTATAAAATAACAAGCATTGATATCTTACATCAATCATCATTCTGACAATGTATTTCTCTTTTCCATAGCCATCTCGTGGAGTGTTTGAAGAAATGAAATATTTGGAACTTATGATTGTCAATGATCACAAAACGGTAAGAAAATACTCTGATTAGTTTCAGGCTCCATAGCTTATTTCATAAAGAATGCATTTTACTGTAATTTATTATTTGTTTCTTATTCAAGCCAAAATGTTCAGATACTATTTTTAGAGATATTGAATGCCATGATTTATTTCTTTAGTGGTTTTATGAAATTTTTGTACTCTAAGCTTTCCCTCTGTTTAAAATGATTTTATCTTCTTAGATCCACCTTTTTGACTTTCTTGAACTTGTCTTCACTTCACAATTGTACCTTCTCTGTATTAGGTCGCTTCCTACTTTTTGTTATGTCTTTATTACTTCTCTGTGCTTAATACATTGTTCTCCTTGCTAAATATTATTTTTGAGATCTAATTATAGGAGATTAACACCTATAGTAAATGTACATCTAAAGAGGTTGTCTTACACTGATTTTTTTTCTTTAAATATTGGAAAAATGAATAATCTTGTGTTACTGCTGTGGAACTAAAATATGCTTGGATTGGTCATTCAGGTAACAGTTAAGTAAAACAGGAAAACAACCCTTGCTCTCCATTTGCTCCTCTTAGAGATAAAATAGAGTTCTAACTATACTCTGCCAGTTTCTCTAGTAAGATGTCATAGCTGAAGGCTAGAACCTGCTAGAATCTTGGTCCAAAGGCTATATGCCACAGACTAGCCAGTATCACACCTGGCTCTGGAAAAAAAAGCCTGGAATTATAAGATTTGTTGATGTTCATGGTATAAATGTTCCCACTACGGATTTTATGCTAAAATTCAGAAATCTCTGACTGAAGAGCTATGCACAGATGTGAGCTGGTGGGATCTGGCTTCAACAGTTGCTACCATATTTCCCCAAGTCTTGATGTCAGTGGTAATTTTTATAATAGTGTAATTTGCTTTTAAGAATTGAATATGTTAACAATATTCCTTTTTGTGAAAATGAGGTTGCTTTTCTACAAAGAATTTAGAAAGATGGAAATCTTTTTTAAAAAAATGCTTAAAAGTCGGACGAAGTGAAAAGCATCTCAGATATTGGAATAAACATTCAGATTGATTGCAAGTATCTTGAAATCCTAGTTTTATTTTAAAGAACCCAAAATTAGGTTAGTAAACTGTTTTTCATACTGACATGACAATGTGAGATTCTAATTCGCGGTCCTTACTTTAAAATGAAATTTTTTAAAAAGGTGTCTTAATTTATATTTAAGATTTTAAAATATAAAGTATTTTATTTATATGTGATGAACAAATTTCATGTATTTCATAGTACATATTTGGTCGTAGTGATTCTTCCCACACTATCCTCCTTTTTTCTTATTTCTGTCTTTTAAAAAAATTACAAGGATATATTTTTTCACTCTACAGTCACAGACTTAACACTCCATTAGATAAATAATTTGACAAGTAGAAAGTAGAAAAAAACCGCAACCCTGTTCTCAAGAGTATAGAGAAAGGCTACAAAAAGTAATCCAATTGCAGAACGTGAATTTTGCTCATATGGATCATTTTTTTTTGAGTGACTCTAATGAATATTTCTAATTGATTGCCAAACACCAATTTAAATTGTGTTGATTATAGTATTTTTCAATAGAATATACCTTGTAAACAGATTCATTTTCTACACCAATAGTTTTTCAGTACATTGCTTGAGTTATGTTAACATATTAATCTGCTTTACTTGATAGTAAAGGAATACTCAAGGCAGGTTAGAGGCTTGTTCTGGCTCGTGATCCCGGAAGCCCTTCCTCCCTGGTCAGGTGGACCTTGCTGATTCAGTCGCTCATGTTGATGTTCCTGCTGGCACAGTGCACAGGGGGTGGGAAGCAGCCCAGATCGCAAGACAGGAAGAGAGCCCATCTGCCTCTATCCCAGGGACTACACTGGAGTCACTCACAGGGCTCCACCTCAGCACCCTCATCCAATCTGCTCACTCCCCAAAGGCCTGAGCTCTAAATGCACTATTGTTAATGTGTGACTTTGGGGTTTACATTTCTGCATGAGTTTAAGGACCATTCAAACCATAGCAGTTAGTACATACCATTTGGGAGTGGTCCTTCCTGATGGTGAGAAGGAACACTGCACGTGTGGACACTGTGTAGGCAGCGATGACTTCCTAGACATTTCTAAAGCATATTAATTTGCTTGAAAGCCGAGATAACTTTTTCATTATGAAGTTTATGACTCGAGGCGCCTAAGCTTTTCCCCAGCATCCATTATTCAAACGCTTTTAAAGAAGTGAAGTAATAATTAAGATACATATAGTGCCTGTGGATGTACAAAGTGCACTCCAAAGTAGCTAGTAATCAATAGATTCAATTCTTAAACCCTAAGTTGCAATTCCAAATGTCTTACTCCATTATGCTTTATACCAAATCACCAAAGCTGGCAATGTGGGAGCAGATCTCAGTAGCTTTGTAAAATACGGCCCTTCCTACAATGTCGTATAGACAGAAAATTTCTACGCATTACATGTTATATGCTGTGATGAAGTTACTTTATTCAGGCCATCAAATCTTTAAATAAAAATTCATTCTTTAACCAACAAATTAAAGTAATTCATTATAATTAAGGGACAGAATTAGGCAAGTTATCTTCATCTGTTTTTGAATTTAAAAACTACATTTTACTGACAAATTAGGAGAGAAGATATGTTTAAAAATAGAAAACACTGAAAACTTTTTTTTGAGTGGTTGTAATACCTGAAATAAAAAAAAAAATTACCTAGGAAGGTTTCTACTATTTAAAGAACTGTTGGTTTCACACCAATAGAATAGAACGAAATACATAATAGTTTCAAAATAGAATCTTACTTTAGAGCTTTTTTGAGGGTTGAGACAGCTCCTTTTTGAGGAATGTGTTCGTGTCCTCTTTTTTGAGGAGTGTGAGGCGAAGACAGTTTTTGAATTTGCACCCAAAAAAGTGGTTAATCAGAACCTTGAACAAAGTACTTCAATTCTTGTGTTAAAAGACAAATTGAATCAAAATAATTAATACAGCTAATATTTCATATTAGAGCATTTGCTGTTGGGCTTTAGAGTCGTCATCCACAGAGAATTCTCATCTTACCATTTTTATGCTGCATGAAGCAATACATTTATTCTGATAACTGGTGCCTTTGGGCTGAACGCCAAGTTTGATTTTAATTATTTTTAGGAGTCAGATTTCTTAAGAATTGCCTTTGTTCAGGAAAGAAAAGCAAATATGCTGGTTCAAATGTAAATTGTAATCAGTGATCAGAAAATGTGAAACTGTATTTTGTCATAAATGGAGATTGCTTCCTTTTCTTTATGTGCAAAATTAGTTCTTATTCAGGCAAGAAACAGACATTTAGCATACGCTTACCTTCAAGCTTATTTACCTCTTTAAGGGTAAGCTAATATTCATTGCCTGAAAAAATGCACATGTGTTATTTTAGAGAGTATTTTTCAATTAGAGAAAAAGGCTCTCAATTTTGTAAAAATTATTCTAGTACCTGGCAAAACTAATTTGTCAAGCCTGTTACAGACGTGAGAAGAATCTGAAAACATTTCTTTGAGTTGCTTAAGTTAAAAATAAATATTAAAACCTAATGCAATAGAAGAACTGGTTGAGCTGTGGTGCATGAAGGGCAAGTGGTTTGCTTGTATTTTTGTTGTATGTTGTTAAGTATGAGTCAATAAGTATAAATATGGGATGATAACGTAAATATTTTTAATTTGAACCCCATTTGATTTTTCTTCCTTAAAACCACTCTAATCTCTGTACTCATAACGAATGGTGGGTTGCTACCAATAACCGTCACTTGGGAAAACACGTAAGCTATTTAATAAGAATTGTTAGCTTAAAAAGTTCAGAGTAGGCTTTTGTTCCAGCTGTGTGATCTTGGCTAAGTTATTTTGGGAAGATAAACACACTTCACGGAGTTGTGAGGAGTAAATATTTGGTGCAGGGTAAACACGTTATAGTTCCTAGTTAATCCTAGTGCTAAATTACATGGATCTTCAAATAAACAAGTCGGGTGGTCACTGTTCTGTCCTCATCTTATTTGGTCAGTAACCATTGGACACAGTTACTCTCTGTATTGCAGTACTCAATAGAAACCATACATTTAACATTTCTGCGTCAGGAACTCAGCGCCCTCGTCCTAAACTTCTTTCCCTAGTGCTTGTCATTATTTTAAATGGTGCTGTTATTGCCCATGATTCCAAGTCAGCAGCTTAGAAGTCTTATTCTGTACAACTCTGTCCTGATGTCACACATCTTACACATCAGCAAGTCTTTGGAGATCTCTCTACACCATGCTTCTAGAAGCTGCCCACCTCTCTCTGTGGCTGTCCAGCCCTCGTGACCATTTTCCTGGGCGGTGGCAGCAGTTTCCCAGCGTGTCCGTCAGACCCCGCTCTTGATGTTCTGAGTCACCGCAGTGTAACACAGTGCTCCTGCTAAAAAGAAAATTAGAGATCTGAAGAGTATAACCATGCAACACATTTTTGAAAATCTTATTTTGTTAGTTTACAAAAACCTCTATTTATCCATTTTAAACTTGAAATCAATCATGTTTCCTATGGTTATTATAGTGTAGGTAGAAATCTCCAGAAAGGATAAATATAAATGTTCAGAAACAAAATAATAATAGTAGGTGTTCAATACAAGTGTATTGGAACAGGGATTACCTAAATTTTTCTTTTGTGTTGTAAGCTTCTTAATACCAAGGTTTTTAAAGTCTAGAGTTGTGGCTGTCTTGTACCTTCACAATGTTGTAGAATCAGTGACTACCTCCATCTGGTTCCAAAACTTTTCATTACTCCAAAGGCAGTTAACATTGAGCCTTCTTGTTTTATTCTTAGACATATCTTTGAAATTTTTCAGCATGTGAATTTTCTGGGGACCTTAAAATATGGAACTATTTACACAAACTTTTGTTTACTAAATATAAAGAAACTCAAAGTGATTTTTAAAATAATAATATGTTTAATGAACCAGTTATATGCATACCTCAAAATTTAATTCAACAGAACACAGTCTGAGTCAGAATATCATACACAGTGGTACCAATAAGATAAATAATGACAGTATTATTATGCCAATTTAAACAAAGATTTATTTATTTTTACTAGAAAGGTAGATTTACAGAGAGTAGGAGAGAGAAAGAAAGATCTTCCATCTACTGGTTCACTCCATGACTGGAGCTGAGCTGATCCAAAGCCAGAAGCCAGTAGCTTCTTCCGGGTCTCCCACGCGGGTGCAGGATCCTAAGATTTTTTTTGACCCTCCTCCACTGCTTTCCCAGGCCACATGCAGGGAGCTGGATGGGAAGTAGAGCAGCCGGGACACAAACCGGTGCCCATTAGGTATACCAATGCTTCTAGGCTGAGGATTATACCAACTTGTTATGAATTAGTGACAAATACTAATAATAATACAGTATTAATTTATTAGACATTTATCATGGGCCAAAGTATTGTTGGTGTGATAAATGAGAAGAACTGAGCATCAGATGTGTAAGCATTGAGATATACGTCTGTTGCTTAAATACCTACACACGACAGAAGAGAAAAAAAAAAATGAAAAGAAGGGGTTCTGACAAAGGGAGAACAGAGGAAGCGAGACAAGAGGCAAAGAACGAGTATTGGTTTCCCATGTGGGAACATTGAAATCTTCATGAAAATGCATCATTTTAAAATTATAAAAATAACATTTAGATTTTTATCAATCTGAGATAATACTTTCCTTTTTCTCAACTGTGAAACAAACTGATATCATGAGACACCAGCAGAGGGCAGGGTTTCCCTACTCTAGACGTTGATTTTCAACTACTTTTTAAAAGACTGAACAAAATAGACGACGCCTTGCTAAAATCGTATCTGCCTAGCTGTTGCTATAGAATTTCTGCTACTTTGTTTTTCTTCATTTTCTTAAATAGTCGTATATCATCACAAGCTGTTGGCATAATTCTTATATTTTTTGGCCTCTTTCTACTCTTAGTTGAGCAGAGACATTGCTTTGGAAGATTTTACTGTCTGACAGATCCGTACTGTATTCTGGGTATTATCAAAGTGCTGCCTAAATTGGAAAAAAATTTAATTTTATTTCCCTTATCAGAAGAGAGAGAGAGAGAGAGAGAGAGAGAAGGAGAAAATGGGACTGGCTGTTATCGAATGGCTCACTTCCTAAGTGCCTTCCCCAACTGGGACTGGGCCAGACTGAAGCCGGAGGCTGGTGCACCATCCGGGTGTCGGTGCGTGTTAGCAGGAAGCTGTAGTCCACGGGAGAGCTAGGCCTAAACCCAGGCACTCTGGTATCATCTTTGGGTGTCCCAATTGGTATCTCAACCGGTGCTCAAAAACACTTGCCCCTAAATTCTGTATTTTTAATCAGCATATTTATTGTTGCTATGAGATTTATGCTTTTACAGAATTATGGAATTTATCTTCAAATTATGACTTAACACATTTCTTTTTCCTCCCCATCCCCCGGCCCTGCTCTCCCAGTATAAGAAGCATCGCTCTTCTCATGCACACACTAACAACTTCGCCAAGTCTGTGGTCAACCTTGTGGATTCTGTAAGTGTCTCGGTTTTCTGGCACCTGTTTTTATCAAGATAGACTGTTTTAAATATCGACCCTCCTTTGCTTACTTGTTACTTTAGTTATTTGCTGGAAAATGGTAAAAATGCAAGCTTGAAGTTCATCTGGGTAAGAAAATGATAGTGCTTCCCAGACAGCAGCACTCCCAGTCTCAGGGGGCTGTTAAGTTATTGTTGGAATCTCAAAGATGCGCTACCACACTTTCTCGGTGGTAGCTGGGCCTTGCTGTGAGCAGAGACTAGGACGGACAAAGGCATGACGAGAGCAAGCTCCCTGTGAGCTGTCTAGGTAAATGAGACTTTATTCATGAGCGGTAGCACTTTTTAAAATATACAGTGTCAACAGAAAAGAATCAATGCGTGAGATCATGTACACCAACCATGCAAAAATTGTTTTGTAAAGAACACAACTGTTTCCAGTGATAGAATGTTTCAGACTTCTTTCTGGAAGACAAACTTCAGTAGAGTCTTCTCCATTCCCGGTGGCTCCACCACCAGCAGCAACAACAACTAAAAGTTGTGAAATAGTAAGATATGTCTGCTTGAAAAAATTTCTGATTCTGTACACATTGAATGTTGATCTGCTTCCTCCTTTTATTTTTCACAAAATGGGGCTAAGCGGCTAAGCTTGTCTTCCTTTTTCTTACCTGAGGAACTTCATAGATATGGATAGAATGCATCTTGTGTCCATGAACACTCAGTTTGACTAGCTGTTAATAAAATACAGCATGCGCTTTGTCTGTTCTAATGTGAAGTGCTATTACATTCAGCTGTGTATATTTAATCTGAGATTTACCGTAAGTTTCCTTTTAGGGAAAAAAAAGACATTTTATGAATTTCCAAACATCTAAATGATCTTTACGTACACCAAAGGGTTGCTCTTTTAAAAAGACTTACTTGTTTGAAAGAGAACTGGAACAGGGAAGGCAATTAAGGAGGGATGGGAGAAGGGAGGGAAGGTGAAAGAGAGAAATCCTCCATCTGCTGGTTCATTCCTGAAAGGGCCACAGCAGCAGGTCTGGGCCAGGTTGAAGCCAGCAGTCGGGAACTCCATCCTCCTCCCACCTGGACACAGGCACCAGGCATTTGAGCCAAGCTGCTGTGCCTTCCCAGGTGCATTAGCAGGGAGTTGGGTTGGCAATGGAGCAGGCAGGGCTGGGGCTGGCATTCTTATATAGAATGCTGTGTTGTAAGCAGTGGATTCACCTTGTATAAAACAACACCCTCTCCTTTTCTGCTTTGTCAGTGGCTAATAGCCTTCTATCTTGTAACTACTGCTAATATATCTTATGTGTCTGGCAGGCACAGCTGTGTGAAAAAGTCATAGGATTGGTTGTACATAGAGAATATCAGAGACAGGATTAAACTTTTGAGACTCAGTTTATACTTGTTTTATTAGTTTTAACTTTCATTAGTCTTGTGAGTATAAGTGAATATGGAAAAGAGACTTGAAACATCATTGTTCTGTAAAAACTCTTCAGTTGTTCCTGTTTCTAAGTTTCTCATGTTGCCACAATTGCACAGAATCCTGTTTTGCTTGCTGTCATTATTTATTTTGGGTTAGCATAGGAGGTTATGAAGCTGACCAAGAGACATTATATTTAATTCACTTCTTTTTGTTGTGAACTCGGTTTTACTCAGTTATGACATTCTCCTCCTTTGGTTTATTTTTTAAGAAATCACTTTTCTTAACTCATTTTCCAGTCAGATAAAATCATAACACTTGATGATGTTAGTTGAACTACTTTAGATACTGGGCCAAAAGTAGAGCAAGACAGCAAGAGAGCAAATTCAGTCTTGCTGAGGGTGATACAGGGAGCTTAACTCCAATCTTGTGTCTTCTGGCCCCAGAACAGTGATTCTCTCCTGGTGTGATTTTACTTTTCAAATAAGAGGACTTCCGAGGGCAAGTTAGCCATGTTGTTAGGTGCTTGTTCAGTTAGTCGGGTGTTCCATCTGTATTAGGATGACTGGTTGGAATGCCCTTAACTCTAGGCTGGAATGCAGGCACCAGCCTATTATCTCCCGGAGATTTGGAAAAGTTGGTTTTCCTGATTCTTGCCCTCGCTTTGTGCCCTAACATCAGAATCTTTACATTCTGCTGTCTAGTCCCCCAGTGAGATGCCGAGTTTCTACATATGTTGATCTGAATTGAAATAAGTTTGGTAACATGGGACTGAGTGACATGTTTGTATTCTCTTGGTTAAGGAAAGAAAAAGAAGCTTCTCTGTGATGAGCTAATTATGATCCCGTGTTCTCCTCTTACCTCCCCGTTTCTGTCTTTCCACTGACTCTAACTCACTGATCATGCATGTCTGACCCAGTGTTTTCCTCCTGCACCTGTCCGGTTGTCTGCCCTCAGATTTATAAGGAGCAGCTCAACACCAGGGTTGTCCTGGTGGCCGTTGAGACGTGGACCGAGAAGGACCACATTGACATCACTACCAACCCTGTGCAGATGCTTCATGAGTTCTCCAAATACCGGCAGCGCATCAAGCAACATGCGGATGCTGTGCACCTCATCTCGTATGTGCCCTCTGAGTAATCTTTATTTTTTATTGCTGTCTTTAGTTTGACATTGATCCTTACCCTTTCATTGTACTGATTCAGCTGTATTTCAGGACATAGTAACCTGAACAAGATTTCTATTGGTTCCTCTCTCTGACATATAAAAAGCATAAAGGTAGAATGCCCAGTGCCGGGATGTTACTGGTACCAGGACATGTGTTTCCATTCTCGGGGTCAAACTCACAATGCAAGATAGCTGCTGGAACTGCAGCCTATCGCTATAGTCATGGGGCAAAGACAGGCAGGGAGAACAGAAGAGCTGAGTTGGCTGCTATAAAGTAGACTTTTGACTCAGTTCATCACTAGGCCATTTGCCAGCCGATAATCAAAAGGCCACATCCAACTGTAAGGGGTTAGCAAATGCAGACTTTTTAGGAGAACTGTTGAATAAAATTGAGTTTCCCCACCTCTTGTTAAAATAGCTGTTCCTTTTTCACTCATGGCATAGGTGTTTTCTGACTGTCCTCTAAGATTCTATTCTATACTCAAACCAAAAACCTTTCTTATTTTTCTCTTGATTTTTATCGTTTCTGCTTTGGGTTTTTCAGTCTTTAGAATCTATAGCTGATGGATTTTAAACTCTGAAATCAACAACTTATAGTAACTGATAATATTTTGCATAATTGACAGATATACCATATTAGAAAAAAGGACAAGGGCTGTGATCTGCTTTCTACTTGTGCCCTCTGTTTCTGTGCCAGTGTCTGATGTTGTTAGTACTGGCACAGCTGAAACTATCCAGTGTAACGTGGCTTTAAAGGCATCAAGAACATGTTGTGAAAATGCAGTGTTTGATTTGTTGGAGAAGAATGGTTTTGGGATTTTAGTGTGGAAGACTAGATTTGTTTAGGGAGAGTTTTTTGGTGACTGCTGGTTTTCTAAATCACTTTTCTTTTCCTTAAGACGTGTGACATTCCACTATAAGAGAAGCAGTCTGAGTTTCTTTGGAGGTGTCTGTTCTCGCACAAGAGGCGTTGGTGTGAATGAGGTAAATTGTGTCGATATTCGTTAAGTTAAGCTTTATCTTTGTATCTGAATTCTTTCTTTCCTATGCTTTACATCCATTCTTGTGCTTGTTAGAATGATGACATTGTGATTGTAGCTTGTACCTTAGATAGGCTCCAAGGTGGTCTTTTGGGGTTCATAATGATATTTTTGGATATCACAATAGTAGCTTTTTTTTGGGGGGGGAATACAAATCAGAGATTGGCCCAGAGATCTATAGAAAAGGAATTAAGTTCCAATAGACTTCTGATTTCTCTCCTCTCACCCTTTCTTCTTACTTGTAATACTCTCTACCCATGCTAGGTTTAATTCATTTATATCAGTGGGCTTACAAGTGTTAGTGAGTTTTCTTCTTCCTTTTTAAAACTTGCTTCATTCCTTCTGCCCATTTGTGGAATAAATTGAAAAAAAAATTACCTTAATGACATTGTTTGAACTTCAGTACCTCGTTTTTCAAAGGCACATGTTCAGTTGGCAACAGAAATTAAAAAAAAAAAACAACTATGCAATTGTATTGAATCATATGTGATTCATACTGGAGTGTATGCTTTTGGGTTATCCCTGCAGCCAGCATTCAGTGGGGACTTTGTGTATCTGTAGGCAGTTGAATTTGTTCTTGGTTTGCTCTGAGTTTAAGTGGAGCACAGCCCTTCGGTGAATTGTAGTTTGTGTTTCCACGTGTAAAGAATGTCGGGTTCTGAGAGGTGCCCCGGGGTGAGCAGGGCTTGCTGCTTCTTGGGCCGGTTTGCAAGGAAGCAGTGATAAGGAGCTTACGCTGTCCTAGGTGCTGTGAGGCTCTGCTTGGGGAACTGAGATGATGCATGGTGGCAATTAAGAAATAATAACTAGCTTTGTGCACTCTCTCAAATGTTTCCCACACACTTTCAACTCTGAAAAACAGTATGGTCTTCCAATGGCAGTGGCACAAGTCTTATCACAGAGCCTGGCTCAAAACCTTGGAATCCAATGGGAGCCTTCTACCAGAAAGCCAAGTACGTACATTGATCTTCCTACTCATATTTGTGTACCATTCTGTGTAATGCATGTCCAGTCACTGACTATTCTCCATTCTAACTCATTATAGTTTAACTTATGGTGTATTGTATTGCCTTAAAAGATTTACAAGATGAACAATTTGAGGTCATTCTTAATTTGTTTAGGGTGTAGAATTTACAGAATTCTTAAAATAATTTCATCCATTTTCTTAGCACTTTTTTTACCATGAAAAATGTTGGAGTTGGGGGGTGGTGAATGTTTATCCTTTGGCCTCTAACCAATTCAGTAGACACAATATACTAGACAAAGCTCTATTACAAGTTTAACGATGGTATCACATGATTGGGAAATATCTTAGCCTAGAGTCCAGAAGGAGCTAATATTTAGACTCTTGTTATACTTATCCATTAATGGTACCAGAAAAGTTAGAAGGAGTTTTCCTACAGGAGGTTCATGACCCCAAGGCCTTTGAAGCAAACACATGGTAGAGGATAGGATGTCACTTTAATGGGGAGATGAGTCTCAGGCAGTATAGACCAGATTCCATGCAGTGTGGTAGTGACATGACAAATGACTGCCAGTCATCACTTATCACACTAATCAGGTGAAAGATGGAGGCTGACTTCTCCTGTGGGTAAAAGATCCAAGACCCAACATAATTTTAAAAAATATTTATTTATGTAGTTAAAAGGCAGAATTACAGGCCAGGCGCAGTAGCGTAGTGGTTAAGGTCCTTGCTTTGCATGTGCCGGGATCCCATAGGGTCACCAGTTCTAATCCCGGTGGCCTGCTTCCCATCCAGCTCCCTGCTTGCGGCCTGGGAAAGCAGTCGAGGATGGCCCAAAGCCTTGGGACCCTGCACCTGCGTGGGAGACCCAAAGGAAAAAAACTCCTGGCTCCTGGCTTGGGATTAGCTCATCTCCAGCTGTTGTGGCCACTTGGGGAGTGAACCATCAGATGGAAGATCTTCCTCTCTGTTTCTTCTCTTCTCTGTATATCTGCCTTTCCAATAAAAATAAATATGTTTTTAAAAAAGGCAGAATCACAGAGAGGGAGGAGAGAGAGATAGAGACAGCTGTCTGTTGCTTCACTCCTCATTTGGCTACAATGGCCAAGTCTGGGCCAGGCTGAAGCCAGGAGCCACTAACCTGATCCAGGTGTGCCCACCCATGGACTCAGGCCATTTTCTGCCAGCCAAAATAGGAGGGAGCTGAATCAGAAGTGGAACAGCTGGGACTCAAGCCAGCCCTCCTGTGAGATACTGGCACTGCAGACAACAGCATAACCCTGAAGCATGTTCACTCACATTGTGTACTTAGCTGGAACTAAGGGGAAGTTACCCTCCCCTCTGTGAAAATAAGAGCTGCTGGGAATAAGGGTATCCTTCTCATTCCCACTTCCCCAGAGAAGAAAAAGACAAAAATCCACCTACGCATTAGTTTATATGTCACACTTTTTGTCATTAATGAATAATATTAGGAAAAATTGAAAGAAAATATGTATCCAGGGCTTTTTGATTCCTTTAAAGGATATAATATCATCAAGTTATATGGTTATTACAGGTGTCTAGTACATTTTGCAAATTCCCACAAACTTGCACTTATCAGTAACTTACTCAAAGTTACCTGCTTTTTTGAGGAAAAAATCAGTACATACTAAGAACTTTTGCCTTACAAACAAAAAAGGTATGGCTAATTTGAGGCCTTGTTTCAAAACCCCAAGCTTATTGCTGATGTTTTCCTCAGCTCCTTGCTTCCTAAAATTTTATTTTACAAATTTTGTAAGTAGGCATCTATTTCCCTGGCTGTGAACTTTGAATTTAAAAAAAAAAACCTCTTGCAAATATTTATTTAAAAATATCTTTATGAAGAAACAGAATAGAAAAAATATAATTGAAGAGCTTAGCACAAAATCAACATGTGATTTTATATCTATGGGTAAGTTAAGCTTATGCTTGTCATTTAAGTGCTCCTATACCCTTCTAGATTGCTCTCATGTTTTTTACTTTTATTATTATCATTTTATGGTACATTTTCATAGGCCCTGAGATTTTCCTTACCTCTTCCCCAATTTCCTTCCCCCTTTGGATTTCCTCATGTTATTACTATAGTATAGTTCTTCACAAACAGTCATATGTCCATCATTGCGGACATGGACAATGGCAGAGAGTCCAGCATCCTATTGTCAAGATATAGTTAACAGTTTCATTGGGAGTCCATCTTTGCTCTGGAAGTAGAAATGCATACCTCATTGTATCCTCACATCTGCATATGATAGTCTCCATTATACAGCTACTATACATCCTCTTAAATGAAAAGCCACAATGCAAAATCAACAGCAGAAAGAAAAATAGAAATTTACAACATCGTGAGGGTAAATAACATGCTACTGAATATGATAGTCTACATTACATAGTTACTATACATCCCCTTAAATGAAAAGCCACAAAACAAAATCAACAACAGGAAGAAAAAAGAAATTAACAATGTCATGAAGTTAAATAACATGTAACTGAATGACCAATGTGTCACTGAAGAAAATAAAAAGAAAATCAAGAACCTTCTTGAAGAAAATGATGCTACTGTTTGATCTATCAGTCAGGCAAGAATTTAATAAGGAAGTCTTTTGAAGAGATGAAACTAAATCTGAAATATCATCAAAATCCATGAGATATAGTTTCTGCTGATCTTTGTTGGTGATCTTCTGAAGGCATCAAATAGATTGCTGTCTTATACTAAACTTTCTTCAAGTCCTGGCAGGTCCTCACTTTGGCTCTAGCAAAATGATTTCTCTAACTTCCAGTGGTCTCTGGTAGAAGGACTTAGCAGCTCCTGTGTAAACCTCAGAATCACTCTGGGATTAGGCAGAAAGTTGTTCTCAGTGTAGAGAAGGAATCACTGACATCCACAAAATGACGTCACTCGCCTATGAACTTGGAGCAGAACACAGGGCACCTTTCACCGAACGTTGGATGTAGGAACAGTGATATTGTCTGAGTTACAAAAATGAAGAATCATGATTGTGTGTCTTGCTGCTTGTTTTCTTAACTGCCAACCTGTGCTTCTAAAAGGGGTAAGAAAATGCTGATTTAAAAGAAACAGATCTTGTTCTGTGAGAATTTTCATGCTGTGTGTATTTGACATGGAATTGGCAATATCAACTCCTTGTGGGAGCTGAAACACCATCTGAAGATGTAAATCTTGTTGTTTCCTTTTTCCTCTGCTTTTTGTGTCGTTCCATTGGACTAGAATGTGACTGCACAGAATCCTGGGGTGGCTGTGTCATGGAGGAAACAGGGTAAGAGTTTAGTATGTGTGCATTTTGTCACTGTTTCGTAAGTGAGAGACAAGCTGTCAGATGTTGTTTCTTGAGCTAAGCACTTAGTATAAATTCAGTAATTGTCTATATTTTAAAACAGAAAGGGCTAATTCATTTTGTATTTTAAGCCTGGTGATAAAAGCAGAAGTAGTAAAAGCTGCTTTTACTTCTCTTTAACCCTTAGAGGAAGCACAATCCTAAATGCTTCTAAGTTCAGGAAAGGCATGAACTTTTTAGTACACTTAGAATTAAAGCCGGTTGTCTACCTGACACAGTGAAAATCAATTTAGTCATCAGTTTACACTTTAAGGAACTTATAAATTTATATATAGTTACAGTGATAAAATAGTGCTGTACTGCTTCTAAATCCATAGTTTTTTTTTTTTTTAATATACTCTTAAGACAGACTTATGTCTAGGTTAGGCAGTCTTCTGGTAAGAGAAACTTGGACATTCCTTCACCTGTCTTCTCTACTATCTGGCACATACGTGGGAAACTAGAACGACTTTCTCACAGCTGCTGTTGCTTCAGTGAACTAAGGCCTGGGTACCCCTTCTCCCAAGGAGCCCGACCCCACAGAAGCATAGCATCCCACCGCCCCGAAGTGCTGTAGCCCAATCCTAACACATAGAGGTTTCTTCACCCGTGTGCTGTATTCCTCATCCCTGCTGGACACCTGTCCGGCACACTGACCTTTTGTGGCCCTCATCCCTGTTTCCTGGGCCTGTGACTCTGGAGGCCCTCACCCACTCTCACAGAGCCCTGCCTGATTTTCCTAGCAGATTCTCCCAGGACTCTAGCTCATGTTGAGAAGAGGAACATGCCTGTGAGGCTTTGCCAGAGGCAGCCATTATCTCTCCCACCTTAGAATATGTTTCTAGAAGTGTAGTAAAAGCTTGAAAGTCTTGGTTTCCATGGTCCCCTTACTGTTGTTCCTTAGTTTAGTACTTAATGGTGTATACACACTTTTTACAGAATACTGTAGGAATATAATACCATTGATTTCTGTAAGGAGAAGTGTTTTGTCTTTTAAACTCCTAATTTTTAGTTGGCTCTTTGGACTAACTACTCATAGGATATAATAAAACCAAAGTTGGTATGCACTCTTTTTAGTATACATTTCTGTATGGTTCTGGTAAGAGATCCCTGTCAACATGGACAGGTTTCACCTGCTTCTGAAAGCCATCCTTATCCATCAAACTGCATAAAACCAGCATTATATTCCAGAAGCATTTTGTCATTCTCAAAGCAAGTGTTGTTATAAATATTCCTGAATAACCACTGTATACAATTCAATTGATCCTTGACCCTGTGTATAATATCAACCTGTGTGCTGACAGATATTAATATAGTGAAGTAAATTATAAAAAGACTCAGCTTGTGTTCTTGCTTAATCATGATTATCATCAAGTGGTAATGAAAATTGAGAATTAGAAACTTCTGTCCCTGGCCAGTCACAATAATTCTGCTCTCAGAGTATATGTACATAAATATAAAGGACATATATACATATATATGGGGTACCTCTTCAAGTTCACAGAAAATAGAATTTAAAAGATTAGTGTGGTAAAAAAAAGTTGTAAAATCCATGATGAGGCATCAAAAACTTCATGTAAAAATGTGTACTATGAAAAATAATGCATAGCTTTGCATAGTCTAGATGAAGATGTTTTGTCTTTAATAATAATAATAATAAAACTGTCAAGCCAGAGCTCGAAAGGGCTTACCTATTACAGAGGTTGTAGCCTAACCCCTAGTACTGTGATTTGCTTTGAATTTCTATTTTTTATAAATTCTATTATGCAGAATTATTTGACAGTTTGGACACAAATGCTTTGTTAATAATCGTGTAGATCTGTTTGAATCCAGTGTGAGCTCTGCTCCAGTTCAGGGGCTTTAACTTTTTTTGATGACTGCTTTTGGCAAATTATTTACATGATTGATTTCTTTATTTCCTCAGGGTATCCCATTCCCGAAAATTTTCAAAATGCAGCATTTTGGAATATAGAGACTTTTTACTGAGAGGGGGTGGAGCCTGTCTTTTCAACAGGCCAACAAAGGTTAGTAACTTGGAAACTGTTAATTGCTTCCCCATTGTTTAACATTGAAACTCTGCTAAGTGCACCTGTCTCAGAAAGAGGTTTTCTTATAAATCAGGAAAAGATTTGGTTACACAAGGCCTTCCTATGTTGAAGATGGAGTCTTGTTTAAACGAATGACAAAGCTGTAGGTAGGTTGAGTGTTCAGCGTCTCTGGCTTGTGCAGTCCCCAGGTCCACCTCTTCCCAATGCAAGCCCCTCAGTTAGAATACTTTTGAAATTGCCATTTCTGGATTTTCATCCTGTTGCTTTAGAGACAGGAGTTTAGGTAACATAGAATGTAAGTTTTCCAAAACTTCATGAAAATGTGTACTATAAAATAATTGTGCAAACAATCTCAAACATTTTTGGTACTTCAATGATTTTGTATTCCATTTTTCATGAACTGCTTGAATCACTTATGTGTAACTGTAGCCCATTTATTTGATGAAATTCTGTTTCTGTTTGACATTCTTTTTAAGAATCTAATTTTTGCTTAAAAATATTCAAAATTCTTTTTGAACAAGAGGAAACATTTTTACATTTTTATGGGGGAATATTTAAACAAATACACAGAGGGTAAGCCAGTAAGACCAGGTGGCTAGCTCTTCTGCTTCCCAGTCTTGTTGTTGGGAGCCTACAAGCCCCTCTCTTCCAGTCCTTTTCACAGTGTGTAATGCATTGTTGCAGACTGCAGTTACTACACCACACCTCACTGGAGGCTTAGCACTTGTCACTTCCATCTGTCTGTGTTTGATACTCACTATACAGCCTACCTCTGTCCTCCACCACCTTCCCTAACTCTAATAGTCAATGTTCTAAGATCAGATTGGTTTCTTTTAACTTCTACAGATTATGAAGAAAGTATGGCATATGCTTTCCTATGTCTGTCTTAAAAATCTTAAATAAAAGAATGACGGACTTATGACTGCTTATGAGGGGGTATACTATTGCAATAATATGGGGAAAATCAGTTGGTGGGAGGGCTTGGGGGGAGAGGGTGGGAAAATCCCAAGCCCTATGGAATTGTGCCATAAAATTAAAAATATATATAAATAAGTAAATATCTTAAAGATCTCCAGTGCCAGCCATGTTTCTGAAAATCTTAGTACTTCACTCTTTTTATATCAGAACAGTATTCTACTGAGTAAATATACACTTTCTTCAGTCATCAATCTATCAAAAGACATCTAGTTTGCCTCCATAGCTTCACTCTAATAACTGGTGCTTTGGAACATGGGATATAGGTATCTCTTTTAGTTTTTTCGCGCATATTCTCAGCAGTGATATAGCTAGGTCATATGATAGATCTTTTTTAATTTTTAAAGAAATTTTCATACTGTCCCCATAGTGGTTGTAATAGCTTATATTCTCACCATCAGTGTATAAGGGTACACTTTTCTCCACATCCTTACCTGGGGTGTGGGTGGGGGTGGCATTAAGCATTACCAATAAAGCTAGCTAAAAAAAATCCTTTGCATAAACTGAGTGCCATAAATTCATCCGTGTATTTCCATTGCAAAATCTCTTTCCCTGAAGAGGTTCATCTTGTTAACTGGCATCTAATAAAAATTTGCATACACAATGTCACAGTCCCTTATCCACAAAATTTTAAGTGTAAAGCCAAAAGTTTCTAGGTTTTTAAAATGAATTTTAAAAAAATGCATTTAACAGTAAAACTTGTTCTAAACTACGTATCTTCATTACTCATAGAATAAATATTCATAAGTTTTGCTGCAGAAATATGAATGTGTTCAGTTTTAGGGTGTGCCCCAGGCCTGTTGAGACTAACACAGAATGTTGTAAATCCTTTCTAAAATCCAGCAAAGCCAGAATTCTCAAATTTACTTGCTGTAAAGCATTTGCATATATCTGTGGTATCGCATGGTTTTGAGAATGGATGTTATTGAACAGGCAGAAACACAGGATTATTGCTGATTGGTATATGATACAGAAATTTGAACATGTTGAATTTCCTATCTCCTTTTATAGTGCTAGTTCATAAATCAAACATAATTAGTTCATTGCACTTTAAAAATGTTTCATACTCTGCAGATTGAGAGAACAGTGAAATAATGTTAACCTTTTTTTTTTAAAATAGTGACTTATGTGGATAACTGACAGAATAATTTATTCCATAGCCATAATTAAGTGATATTGCTATAGTCAGGGGACATGAATTTGTTGCCTAATATCTTTGTAAAAAAATCTTGGTAAGGCTACTGAAAAATAAACTGGACTGTTAAAATGACCTTGCATCATTAAAGTAGGCAAAATGCCTTTCATGATGTTGATTTTTTTTTATTTTGAAAATTTTATTGGCTCTCATATATGCAAATATGTAAAATACATTTTTTAAAATGTGTCATAATTCTACTACCAACTATGCAGTAAGTTTCATTTTCTTTTTCTCCTTTGAGATGTTATCCCTTGGTATGTCTATCTTACGCAGTTACGATATAATAGCATAGGAATTTTGTCCTACTTTTTAAAACATTTTACCATTCTTTATTTTTAAATTTAATTTTAGTTTTCTTATTGTTTTCCACAATATAGATTTGTACGCATAGAGATTCGTCCCTCCTCCTCCCCTCTTCCCTCTGCAATAGAAAGCTTCAAGCTTGGAAGTGTTTAAGTGGGTGAAATATGTAGTAATGAACTAATGAGCTGTTGGAATTTTAAATTATAATGTATTTGGCTTATTCTGTGTACATGGCAGTTCTCCACCTAGTTATCGGTTTCATCCCTGAGAAAACAGCATTGTCTTGTTTGGAAATGCAGATGTCTGCGTATGCCCAGGAAACCATCACTGGATTTCTAAAGTTCCTTATAGTTAGGAAGAAAGTATTCCAATAACTACATTAAATTAACTCACATCTTCTATTTGAAAATTTAGTGAGTACAAAATTATTTATATAATACTACATACAAATTACAAGGGCTTAAAAAAAAACCCTTTTTTGATTTCAGGGAAATAGTTTCTATGCAAATATGAAAGACATGGCTTTTTTTCCAAGTGTTTTTAGTGAATTGATATCTGCATATACACATGTGGTATGTTATCTTCATGTTTTTTGTGACCTGAGATTCTTCTGTGTGCCATAGTTTTCTTTTCATTTATTTTACTTTATTTTTGACAGTCTTTGCATAATTAGGGCACAGAGGTTCAAGGGCTACAGGAAAGTGGGTGAGACTGTCATTTCCACATTTTTTTTCTGTATCTGGGGTAAAGGTGGGTAAAGGGAGAAGCCCCACCCAGTCTTCCACCCATCCCAGGTCTGTAATGTGGAGCTCTGAGGGTCTTGCTCAAATGGTTTTGATAGTTCAACAGTTCTGAATTGCTGCCAGTCTCGACATTCCAAGCACGATGAGTTCGCTGTGGAATCCTCTGATTGACATAGTGCATCTTCGAGTCTCCGTTTGTCCTGTTTTCCACTGCCTTTTCTGTTAGAAATCTGAGTCTGAAAGTTCAATTGGGGGGATTCCCTAAAGAAACTTTATCTGAGGTGAACCCTGACCAGATTCTTGTATGTACTAGCAAGCACAGGGCCTGGCACAGTCCATCGCTCCAATCAGCTGGTGGTTGCAATTGCTGGGTCGGTTTTGTTTCCAGCCCTGTCTTCCATTGGAACCAGAGGGTGTTACAGTCCAGCCTGATTCTGCCCAGCACACACTTGGCCCTCACATCAACGAGTGGGAGCTGCTGCCTAGTCAGAGCAACCCACAATAACCCCCACCAGGCCTGCCCCTTACTCTGGTTCCTGTGCTTGCCAGTATGTGCAGCAGACTAGTCCAGTCTGTTCCCATTCAGCTCTCATACATGTCAATGGGCATGAAGCCTAGTTCAACCCAATCAGCTCCACTATCCAACCCACACATATGCTGTTGGGTGCCCTTCTGTCTAGCCACCCCAGCCCCTGTCCTGGTTTTCCTGCCCTCTAGTGGGAGTGGTAACCCAAGAGGGAGGTGCCCACTATTTCCCTTCTAGACCACTCCCACTCCCAGATTATGCACTCTCTGGGAGATTCTGCAGTTTAACTTGACAGAATTAGCCCCCAGTGCCAGCTTCTGCCAGCTGTTGCTGCCGTAAAGCCCAGCCAACCCTCATCCACTCTAATTTTTGCTTGCACCAGGAGGAACAATCAGCCCAGCCTGGCTTTTCCCTGATCTAGTGCAATGAGGCCCACAGGTGGTATAGCCCTACCTAGTCTGGTCTGCCTCCATCCCAGCCCACGCTCTCCAATGGGAGAAGCTGTCCAGTAGGGAAGCTCCCCACATTTCCCCTGCCAGCTCCGCCCCCTCCCTTCCTGGTTCTCACGTGTGCTGTTGGGCACTGTGGCCACATCCAGTACAGGTCACCTCACCTTGGCATTCCATAATGTGCACTGGTTTTTGTCACAACCGTACCTGGCTCGACCTACACTCTGTTCTAGTGCTCTGATTCACCCGTGGGTGATGTAAACTGGTTCAGCCTGGTCTGCCCCCGACCCATGCCAAATGTATGCTAGTGGGTGTGTGCCATAGTTTTCATCTGGTTTGACAATGAGCTGTCTCAGGATGAGGATGTATCCTAACGGTGACAGGATGGAGTCTTCATACAGGTCTTGTCTTGTGCGTTTCCCTTCTCCCTTGTCCTCTTGCCTGTGCCTCAACATCCAACAGAGCCTGTGCCTGGGATTTTGAACTATCTCTCAGAGTCCCACCCAAGTTGTCTGGAACCTTTTTTGATTCTTACAATAGCTGTCACTTTCTGGAAGTGGAAGGAGGATCATTTCTTTTTCGGATGAATTCAGTGAAAGATCATGCTTCCTTGGGAGTGTATACAGCTGCTGGGATGGACTCTCCAGTGTTCACGGCTGTGGCATTGGCGTTGAAATGTGCTCTCTTCTTCTTTATCCGAGAGTGATGATCATACCCAGGGAACTCCAGCTCTGTGTGATGGGGGAGACATGTTTCCCCTCAACAAACAACCGGCTTCAGTTGTTGGCTTATAGTAGAATTTATCTGGCAAGAGAGTTCGTGTTGTCAGTGGGGTGGACTATTCTAGAAATTTTACTCTTCCATTGTTTTAGAAATGACTGAGAGTTTGTGTATAACCATGAATGTGTTTACACTATGGCTTGGATTTCTAGGACCATTTTTGCCCTAAATTCGCTTGCACTTACTTAACTTGTAAATTTCGCAATTGGCATTATCTTTTCCTGACCACTTCTGTGTTTTCTCAGCTTCTTTGAGACAAATTAGTAAATTATATATTGTGAGACTTATTAGCAGTGCATTTTAACTCCATTAACAACTATGAAAAGTGATCTATTCTTATTGGCAGCTTATCTCTATAAAGAGCAGTTCTGATGCCGGAGGTCATCTCCAGGGCCCAACACTAGAGATTCTCCCAAAAGATGTTATACTTTTAGAAATGTTATTCGTAAGTGAACAGTAGTTCCCACAGAGACATCATTGATAAGATGCTGTAACAATAGATCACAGCACAGGAACACATGATGTTATTTGTATGGCCATGGATGTGATCCGTTTGGTTGCTTCTGTTTTAAATTAAAATATTTTACCTCCCCATTTCTAATCTCTTTCAGCTGTTTGAGCCCACAGAATGTGGAAATGGATATGTAGAAGCTGGGGAGGAATGTGATTGTGGTTTCCATGTGGTAGGTATAAGAGACCTCTTTGTTCATTGCAGCTCCTTCCCAGAGCTAACTGGAGTAGCACTAGTGGGAAGGTCGTGCTATCACTCATTGTGGTTTCACTGCATTCCTTTCCAATCTGCCAGATCAGTGTTTAATCACAGCTCAAACACATTAGTATTAGTCAAATCCTGATGGCCTTGCCTGAAAAATCCTAAAACAGCCTTTTAATCAGATCCCTTGCCTCCTAAAATTTCATGGCATTATATGTAGCTTGAACAGCTTGTTCCAAATCATGAAACATTTTCCCCATGTTGCGTATTATTTTTGTTGTGATAGAGCTAGTTTGGATATTAACAGGATGGGGAAGCTAGCCAGGGGTGGTTTGTCTGACTTGAAATCAGCACAGTTCTTGGTAGAGGAGCTTCTGTAGAAGATCATATCTGGTTGGGAATCTATCGTGTTTCAAAATGATGATTCCCTAAAATGTTTGCTTGTGATTATATAGATCTGATCATTACGCAGAGTCTCATGCAGAGAGAATGTTGGATAAGTAGCCAGTAAGTGTTTTCGTTTTCCCTAGGAATGCTACGGCTTGTGCTGTAAGAAATGTTCTCTTTCCAATGGCGCGCACTGCAGTGACGGACCGTGCTGCAACAATACCTCATGTCTGGTGAGTGTCCTGACAGTTGCATGTTTCTTTTAATTACCCAAAATCTATCAGGATGCACATTGATCTTACTGGGTTGTTGGTTACACTGTGAATATTTACCTAGCAGCTTTATGTAGTCAATAAATCTACCCAAATTCAGTGAGCCACAACATCTAACTTTATTATTATTATTATTCAGTATTGATCATTTAATCCTCCAGTGCATCCTTAAGAAAATAACTAATGTGTCTTCCAAAATAAAACGCTGACAGTTGCCCTACTAACACAATTGAAAGGTAAATTGTTAAGTAGGAGCTGTGATCTTTTAAGTATGACCTACTTACAGTTTTCTTCAAAATTTGCCCTAATTTAAACAGAGTATGAAAAGTAGTTCCCATGTTTCTCCAGCTGTCTTGAAAAAAATTTCGTGTTTATTTGAAAGACAGTGAGAGAGAGGGGTCTTCCATCTTTGAGTTCACTCTCCAATTGCTCGCAACAGCTAGGGCCAGCCCAGGCCACAGCTAGGAGCCCAAGGACTTGGACCATCACTAGCTGCCTCTTCGGGCACCGGAATACAAAGGAAGCAAGCGTGTGAATTCAGGCACTCTCATATGAAGTGTGGGCATCCCAAGAAGTCCCAAACAGCTGCCTTTGCCTTTTTTTTTGTTCTAATTTTGGAGGGAGGTGAGAAAGGGAAAAGCAGAAGAGGAAGTGAGCGAGAAAAGGGAGCTCTCGCCCTGCTGGTTCACTCTCCTAATGCCTAGGAGCTGGAAACTCAATCCAAGTCTGCCACACAAGGGCCTAACCTCTGTAGGCTTCACCTGCTGCCCGCCAGGACATGGATTAGCTAGAATTAGGAATGGAACCAGGATGTAAACTCAAGTCTTTGATATGGGATGTAGGGGTCCCAAGTGGCAGCTTCAAGGCTATGCCAAATGCCGGTCTTTTATAGCTTTTTCGGTCTCCTCTGTAGACAAGAAACATAGGTGAGGAGGTAATTGTTTGCACTTATATTTGTATATATGCACAGTTTGTGTGTGTATGTCTTCACAGTCACCTATGTGACCTCCAGTTATTTTAGAAAAGTCATTTTTTAATCTTCCTTTTTGCTCTTTATGAATCCTCTAATATAACTTATGGCATGATCTTGTCTTTTTTTGTATCAAAAGATACTACACATCATAGTGTTCTTGAAGATTCCAATATAGTTTGCATTAGCTTCATGTCCCCTGTAAGATTAGGTTGCTTGAAGCTAATGGGCTTCCCTCATCTCTTTTCCATCACTACTTAAGACAAGAAAACTGTCTTGTGTGTGCATGGGCATTACTGATTCACATGAATTCACTGAAACTTTGTATATTTAGTGAGAGCAAGATTAATGTTCAATCTAGTAGGTGAGTTAGGAAACGTTGGGTATGTGTATTAAACGTTTAGAAAGATATTAATTGTTTATAATATGATATTTTGCTGTCTAAAGCCAAACATAGCTTCATAAAAATGATTGATGGTTATAAGAATCCTAAGAGTTTAATTTTTAACCATTAATGATTTCAGTTTCTAATATTTATATGTGATTTGCAGTTTCTAATCTAATATTTGATTTGCAGTTTCAACCACGTGGTTATGAATGCCGAGATGCTGTGAATGGCTGTGATATTACTGAGTACTGCACGGGGGATTCTGGTCAGGTATGGCACGCTGAGTTGTAGGAAGCACAATTCGAAAGCTTTTGATGTAGACTGCTTGTGTGAATTGGCTTTCCTTCTTTTTGCTTTGCTTTATTTTCTACTTGTAACCATTTCCTATGGAAATTATAGATATGTGTGTCGTTTTGTTTTGGACATTAATATTTCTTCCAATGTTCAGATTTATGACTCTTACCATTTGGCTTAATTTTGTTCCCATTAAATTAATGTTTCTGTCTTGACTGGCTAATCCTTAGCCTGCAACTGCTGGCATCCCATATGGGTGCTGATTCATGTCCTGGCTGCTCCATTTCCCATCCAGCTCCCCGCTTATGGTTTGGGAAAGCAGTGGAGGATAGGCCAAAGCCTTGTGACCCTGCACCTGTATGAGGTACGTGGATGAAGCTTCTTGCTCCTGGCTTTGGATTGGCTCAGCTCCAGTTATTGCAGCCCATTGGGGAGTGAAGCAGCTGCTTTAAGATCTTTCTGTCTCTCCTTCTCTCTGTTAAAAAAAATCTGACTTTCCGAGAAAAATAAATAAATGGTTTTTGAAATTATATTTCTTTCTAGAATCCCTTTGTATTATGTTTTATATTTTGATTTATGATATTTTAAGTCTATTTGTTTTTCAGATGAATATTTATTGATGTTATACAGTGTCAGGCACTGCTGACATTCTTGGATATTGTAGGGGACAAAACTTTTATGGGCCATACCTTCTGCCATATGTGGAAAAGGAAATAAATAAACCGAAGCCAGGTACTGAGAACTGTCAAGCATAAAATAAAATGCTGTGAGAGGAGGCATAGGGTGAGATCATGTGAGGGCTGAGAAAGGTGTATATTCCTAGAAGAGGTGGTGTTTGACAAGAGACATAGATGAAAAGGAGCTGCTGAGAAATCATTAAGTGCAAAGATGTGGCTTCTTTATGAAATAGGGTTAAAAGCAGCATGCAGAAGATTCAACAAGGAAGTGGGAATCAAGGCAGGTAGGGACATGTAAGAATTTTATATTTCATTCTGCTTTCATTTTCATTCTATATTACTTCAAAAGCATTTTCCTATACTATCACATAGTATTTACAAACAACATTTGCATGGCTACTCTGTTATGTGGCTTTATCAGTTGATTTTCCTCTAATTGTAGATACTTATGTTCTGGCAGTTCTTTATTTATAGTCTGAAAGTGAATTTCTGTGTTTTTTTAAGGGTGCTTCCTGTTGAGTTTGCTCTTTATGGTAAATTCTCAAGGGTATGGTTACCTGTTTCCAAGTATTATGTTTTCCAAACGGCCAAACGGCTCCTAGAAAACTGAGTGTTACTTTTATTATAAAAATGACTTTGTTGAATGCCAAAGCTTAAGGTAAGGGCTAAGTAATATATAATGTAGGACTCCAGTTCAGAAATTAGGTCCCAAAGAATTTTTGTAGATGGGCCCTTGTACAAAGCATGGCTTAGAGAAGTAGTGGAGAATGCAGAGTATGTGGGTAACCTTGTCTCCAAGATGAAAATGACAGAACCATTTTGAAGGCCAGTTGCTCTTGTTAATCTTTTCTGATTACATTCCAGTGGCACAACGAATAAAGAGCAGAGGAGCTGGAATTACACTGAGTTCCCTTTGTAAGAAGGAGACATAAAGAGAGGGAGGAGAGGTTCCTAGCTAACCTGTTTGGAAGACATATATATATATATACATATATATATATATATATGTACATTGCCTAGGTCCAGTTCCTTCCAACTTAGTTTTCTCAGTTGATGGCCCAGAGAAATATGTCCTAGTTATTTTAAGAATTTTATGTGTATTTATTTCTTATATTTAAAAATATAAATAGATTTATTTTAAATTTTTCTCCAAAGACAGATTTTAAGAATTCTGTGTTGTGTGTTGAATGAGAACTGGTCTGATAATTGTGATGTATTGCTTCACTGAGTTTTAGTTTTAGTTTTAGTTTTATAGCATAATATTATTTTTATATCTTCCATGTACAGTTTTAGTAGTCTGTATTCAGTCCTTTTAGCAATGTAGTTTTTTACCTCAATCTTTAACTTCTCAAATGCTATAAAATTTACAGGATAAAAGATTTTATGAGAGACACTTGTGTCATAAACTTTTAAAATGTAATGTGTATAGGGTAAAAACAGTCCTATTACTTTAGTTTCTCAGTGGCATATTGAAATAGGATATCTTGCTTTTTCTTTTTTAAATTTCTTAATCAAGATCAGAAAGAATTAAATTGAGATCACTGGAGTAGAGGCATTCAGAGTTCCATAGAATTCTGCTCTGTAAGACATAATGAGCATTGAGTTTAAATGATACTTGTGGTGACTAAGGGGATGAAATTGCTACGTCTCTGAGAATCAGTATCTACAGGCAACACTATGACCTTTTGCAGTCATACTTCTCAGTATCCTTTACTTAATTCTGAAATTAGCATTGACTGGGGGCTCTGAGTTACTAAATTCAAAGTTTATGGCGAAATAAGCAGTATGTCTGCAGTGGGGAGACGCCCTTGGCAAATTATCCTGGATGATATAATGATGATGTTTGAAAGATGCGAGGAATAGTTTTTGCTGGGACTGTGAAATATGTCATCTGATTTATAAGATAGCAAAGCATAATTTAAAATGAACACACGTACATATGTTGCACTGAGGAAGCTGGCCTCCAGCGACCCTTCCTCGTACTGCATCAAACTAGGACTGGAATGACATGGCAAAATTGCAAGCTTGCCTCATAGGCAGAATAAAATACATAGATTTATGATACTTTCTCCTCTTTTAAATGTTTCTAGAGAGCATGAAAGGCCCCATAATTTTTCAGTTACACATTTCAGTGATAAGGAGCAGGCTTTTAGTAGCCTCAATCAAAAACAAGTTGATTAGAAATATTCTCATAGCTATGACAGGTTATGATAAGGAGAGTTTTTTTTTTTAATTTGGAAAGAACTTGAGATTTTTTTTCTTCTCAAAATATCGTGAAAGTGGACTATGGTAAGTTAAGTTAGATTCTGATGTGCCTGTTCTGGAAGCAACATTTCTTTTGCATTTCTGTTGATGCAGTTGCCTTCCTTTTAGGGCTAATGAATAATCAATAGTGGCTAATCACAAGATAATTATTGTGTGTTTACTGGGCAGATGAAAAAAATCCCAGAGGTCTCTGTTTTATGCAGTTGGTGCAGGACTCCATGTTTTAGCACTGATAATGATCCCATGTAAAATACAAATACAGAATTGAAAATGTGTGGTGAAGGGGGCGTTACAGAGAACCATTCATTGTTTAGAAAGAGGTAGAGCAAAAGCATGTTTATTTCCTTGAGAGGCAGGGCGAGGGAGGCATGGGCATGGAGGTGGGGAGGGAGGGGGAGTGATCAGTCTCCCCTCTTGGTTGGTTCACTTCCAAGTGTATGCATGTCCAGGATTGGGCCTGGCTGAAGCAAGGAGTGAGGGACTCTCAGTGTTAGAGAGGACAGATATGGTCACCCTGATTTGGGCATTATGCATTGTGACTGTGGATATATGGAATTCTTGCATGTTAGTTTAAAATGCAAGCAGGAGCAGGTGTTCAGTCTGGCAGTTAAGATGCTGATTCAGACATCCGTTTTCTGTATCAGATGACCTGACTCCTTGATTCTACTTTCCTGCTAATGTAAACATCTGGGAAGCAAAGGTGATGGCTCAAGGAACTGAGTCCATGCCACCTTTGTGAGAGACTAGATCGAGTGCCTGGATCCCAGCTTTCTCTAGACCCAGTCCCGGCCTATGCAAATATTTGGGGAGTTAGTGTGCAGATGGCAGATGTATCTGTCTCTCTAATCCTTAAATAATACATTTTTTTATAAACAGGGAAAAATCATATGGCATATTATCATTTTCTATAGTCGTCCTGTTTTGCAATGGAACAACAGAACTTCCTTCTCCTTCCTAAATGTGATTTAAAACTCATCATCAGCTTCTCAGCACTTCTCCCTCTTTGCCACTCTCCCCAACCCTGGAGATCACCATTTTACTCTCAGATTCTATGAGATCAATCGTCTTGGATTTCATGAAACCAAACCATTTTGTTATGAAATGTTCTGTATAAATTACAGAACATTTCTTAGGAAACTTCTTGGGAAAACTAAATTAATCCTGTTGTCTTTCTGTGGTGAACTTGGTGCACAGTCTGCCATGCACAATGGAAAAAATTGAGTCAACTCAGCTCATTTTTTTGCTTCCTCAACAGGTAAATAATAGTTGAGCATATACTATAGGCTCAGAATTGTTGTGTATACTAGAAAAACCCACAAAAAAATCTAAAATCCTGTCTTCATGGAGCTCACATCATGTTGGGGATAATAATGAACAAATAGGATTGTTCTGCTATAACTCATCAGTGGTAGTAAGTGCAGTGGAGTGGAGCTGTAAACTAGGTGAGGTGGGGACCATGCAGGGATCTTGAGGGACGACTGAAGGAAGAGAGAAGGCCATGGATGTGAAATAGACCTGGCCTGTTCGCAAAGAGTCAGCTCAAACATGGTAGAAAGCAGAAAGCACAGAGAGAATACAGGGTGCGTGTGGGTGAGAGCAGATCGTGTTGAACTCTGAAGGCCAATGAGTCGTATGTAAAGCTACCTGAGGGTTTTGAATAAGGATGGGCATGATCTGATATTTGCATGTCTTTTAAAGCTTTTTTTTTCTTTTTTCAAGATTTACTTGCTTACTTTGAAAGAGTTACAGAGAGAACGATAGAGACAAAGAGATTATCTTCCTTCTACTGGTGCCATGCCCTGATGGTCACAGTGGCCAGGGTTGGGCCAGGCTGCTTCCCACGTAGGTGACAGGTGCCCATCCTGCGCTGCAGGCTTGTGAATTGGTAGCCATATGAGACTCCAGCATCACAGGTGTCACCTGCTACACCTCAACACCACTTGCAAAGGCAGGGTGACAGAGAGAGAGCGAGGTATCCGTCTTCCATTTGCTGGTCTACTCTCCAGGGCTGAGCTAGGATAAAGCCAGAACCAGAGGCCTGGGTCTACTTCTGGGTCCTCTCATGAGTGACAATGCTTTAAGTTCCTGAGCTGAGCTACTTTCTGCTGCCTTGCCAAGGCACATTAGCAGGAAGATGAATTGGATGAAGAGCAGATGGAACTTGAACTAGCACTGACATAGAATGCTGTGTTGCAAGTGGCAAGTTAGCCAGGTTTACTGCAACACTGGCCCCTGATATCTACATTTTTAAGGGGACCATATTTGTAGTAATATAGAATCTAAAGAGACAAGAGTGAAGCAGGGGACTTGTGAGTTGGAGATGGTGGTGATTTGGTCAAGGTTAGGGATGGGAATGGAGAAAAATTGCGTCAAATAATGGCATCTTAAATGTAAAGCTAAGAGGATTTGGAGACAGTGTATGGAAGGTGTGAAAGGAATGGATTATCTGATTTTTTTAGGCTAATCAATTGGGAGGATGGAGGGTCACTGACAAGGTGAAAGCTGAGGAGAACTTTGATACATATTGCTGGTTTTTTTTTAAAGATTTATTTATTTATTTTATTGGAAAGGTAGATGTACACAGAGAAAGAGAGACAGAGAGAAGGTCCTCTGTCCACTCGATCATTCCCCAAATGGCCACAATAGTCAGAGCTAAGCAGATCCGAAGCCGGGAGCCAGGAGCTTCTTCTGAGTCCCCTCTGTGGATGCAGAATCCCAAGGAGTTGGGCCATGCTCCGTTGCTTTCTCAATACTTAATCTGGACTGGAAGGAGAGCAGCCAGAACATAAACTGGCACTCATATTGGATACCTGCACCATAGGTCAAAGGATTAATCTGTTGAGCCATGGCGCCTGCCCTAATATTACTGTTTTTATTCACTTGCCACAGCTGTGTATCTTGGTATTTGCTTTGGATACAAGACAGTGCTTTTAGCATGCCTTTTTCTAAAATTTATTTAAATGCAGCAGATCAAATCTCTCTTATTCAGTGGAATTTTTAGAGACAATAAAATATGTGTTTTAAAAAAGTTATTTGATGAAGAAATCTATAAAGATAAATACCACCCGCATCACAGATTGCTCACGCTTTGAGAGGTCAGAGAGTAACGAGATTAATCACTTACACTGAGTTAAAGGCAGAGTACTTCCTGTCTCAGCCAAGCAGCCGGTCAGGGTCATGGTGTCGGATGCAGGCTTGATATTTTCATGGAGCTGAGCAAGGCCTTGTAAATCAATTTTCGAATGTGTTCACTCCTCCGTAACAAGCTGATTCATTTCCTTTACTGTTGACTTTAATCCCTTCTACTTTTAACTTGGTAAGCAAGTAAATGAGTTTTGTTATTCAAGTACACCTTGCAATAAACAGAAAAGCATGGAAAGCATCCATTTCGTGGGCCCAATTTATTAACTGCTTTTACAAATAGTAGCATTACTTTGGATAACCCACTTGAACTGTAATATATCTTTTCCTAATTTCTTCAAAGTATGTAGTCATCGTTCTTTCAGTTTCTTTTGCATTTTATGCATTGTTTATATTTTCTGAAAGTGTTCAACTTGCCAAACATTATCTAAAAAGATTTTATTTTTCAGTGCCCACCAAATCTTCATAAGCAAGATGGATATGCATGCAATCAAAATCAGGTATACTGGTGTCTGAGTTTTAATTGTAATTTAAGAATTAGGTTGATTTTTCTTGTTGATGAATATAGCTTTGAAGTTAACTCAAGGAAAGTGTTATAGTGAGGCTATAATCCATATTTATTTTATATTATACTAAATATATATATATTCTATCTGACTCTAATGACAAATTATTCAGATTGCAAGTATACAAAACAATTGTAAAGGCGGAAGCATTAAGAATGTAATATATTGAGTTAGGACCATTTTTCAGTCGGTGTAGCCTGTTATGGGAAATATTACAGTCTATTATACCACCATTTTTTCCGTGAAGCCACATTATAGTTGAACCACTTTTGTACAAGTGATGTTGACATTATTTTGGTGTCATCAGAAGAACTGTACTAGTTCTGATACCCTAAAAATGAGATTATAAGTGATTAGTTTCCATTTATGAAACTGTACTATGAAGTCTTTTCTCAGTTTTATATTCTAAGTTATTCTCATACACCTCTTCGAATGATATGGTTCTTGTTGGTTGCTGTGAAAATACTAGGCTATGGAGATGAATTTTACAAAGTTTCTCCAGTTTTGCTAAAAGAAGACTTTATAGGCAAATTTTTGAGAAAATGGAACTGACTTCGTTTGCTTCACAACTCACGTGCTCTTGCCCTCAGGGTCGTTGCTACAATGGCGAATGCAAGACCAGAGACAACCAATGTCAGTTCATCTGGGGAACAAGTAGGTCACACTTACAAAACGGCTTTCTCTGAATGTTGTTCCCAGCCAGTCTCACTGGAAGAGGTGCACAGCTTGGAGTACTGCTGAAAAAAATCTAGAAAAGAGCAAGAATAAAGAGAACTGTGAATCTTCGTCACAACAACTACAGAAAACATTTGCTCAACGTAGGGACTCATTATCAGAAATGTCAGTCTTTCACTACTTGTGGTTTTTAGAGAATGGGTGTTGCACCTGCTTTCCAGGACTGGATTGAGTACAGAGGTCGTGTTTGTTGTCCTTTCCCATGGGTGATGTGCCATTTCCTCTTGGCCTCCACCAAGTTTGCTGTTGTTGTTTGTTTTGTTTTTAATCTCAAGAAAGAGCTAGACGTTTTCCAAGCTTTGTCATTTACTGTCTCAGTTCAAAGGACATAAATAACTTCCCAAGATTTGAATAAGTCCCTGGCCATGACTAAGAGTTCATGGAAATGGATATTATGAAAAGAAACTATTCTTGAACTTCTTTGCACTGCAATGAAATTATCTTTTTAAATATGTTCTCCTTGTATCAGTGTCACATTAGCTAGAATTGACGAGAATTGTGTTGTAGTTTTCACGCATTTGCCGAGACACTGTTATGTTAGTAAGTTTTTTAAAAAATTCAAAATTATTTTTGAAAATAGAATTTCCATTATCCCACGTACACTTTGAAGTCCACTTTGTTGATTCTCTAAAGTTATAGCCATGTAGTCTTGCTGGCATTTGGTGTGCTTCTCCAAGGGACTCCAGGTCCTGAGTACCATATGGAAGCACTGAGAAGAGTCTGCCTTGTGGGTCACAGGGAAGGAACAGAAGGCGCAAGAAGGATCAGGGCTCCTGGCATGATTTCAGTTTTTGGCTAATAATATTTATCTGAACTATTTACAATTAGTGGTTTAGTTTTCACAAAGAAGATTAATATAGACATGTAAATATCAAACCCCACATGCCAAAGTGAGATCTCAGTGGGCTAAGACTTTGTAATTAGTCTTTGTAATTAATTAGTCTAATAATAATATAAGACAGGATGAGGAATGCTTGCTAGCTTTCTGTCAGTTAACTGATATCTGTTTATATTTCCCACTTTCCTACCTGAACCTACTAACAAGAATTGAAAAAAAATGCATTTTCCACATTGAAGAAGAGATGATGTTTTGGAGGGTATTGTTTTGTTTTATTTATTTATTTTTATATTAACTGGTTGAGGCCAATTGTTTAATTTTTGGGAATTTTAAAAGCCCAGAAACATCCCGTCGACTATTTACTCCATGTCCATGGAGTATTTACATAAGAAAAATCGGCAAATGCTACAAATGAGGATTTTTCTTGCTTCTGGAGAACCAATTGTCATATAGATTTACTTTTTCAGTACTGCTTATAGATGACAAAGAGAAGTAAAATTATCTTTTTTTTTTTTTCCTTTGCCTGCCTCTGCCTCTAAAAGAGGCTACAGGGTCTGACAAGTTCTGCTATGAAAAGCTGAATACAGAAGGAACTGAGAAGGGCAATTGCGGAAAGAATGGAGACCGTTGGATCCAGTGCAGCAAACAGTGAGTGGCCTGTTCTGGAGAGCACCGTGACCCAGGAAGCTCTGATGCAAATGCAGATGAAACACATAATACATATGACTGAATTGCTATAATCTTCACTTGCTCACATACTTGAAGTGTGTATTTTATATGCTGGTGTATCTAGGAGCATGTAGCTGTAAACTAAATTTATAGCCTGTTCAGACAGAAACCATAGCTGCAAAATCTGAAAAATACTACATGCTGTTATTTTTTTTTGATTGTTGTTCTGAAAATTGTTCTATGAAGAAGCCTTGATACAGCATTTCAAATTAATTTTTAGTTTTAATTTTCTACTTTTGTTAGAAAAAAATATAATATATTGCATATACATCATCTAAGATGCAACATAGAGCCCTTTTTTGGTGAGATGTTTTTGACCTTTTCACACTTACAACACTGTTGATTAAACTAGACACCTAATAGCTAGATGAAAGTTTTTTGGCCTTTTAACAGCATCTAATGAATGCATTTTAAAGCCATCTTTTCTCCAGGAGTGAGCTACCTTTAGAACACATTTGCTATATTTCCTTTTGATTAATTGAGGAAAGTTAGAAGTATGATTTAATAGTTCGCCAAGGTTAATTTGATGACTTGGACCTAGGCAAGTGTGAAGTTACAGGCCAGAGATGCTCTGGTTATTTTCCATAACAAGGGAAATTTCTCCTTCCAATTTAGAAGCAGAACAAGAATTTAAGGATAAGTTTGGATACTTTTTTATTAATAAGTTTTCTGCTGTAGTATATGAAACTGAAATTTCATGTAGCCTTTGATGCTTTCTATTATAGTGCATGAAACTTTGAAATTCCACGTAGCCTTTGACAGTGGTTGAATTTTGTGGCAACAAATCTTTGATAATAAATTCTTTAAAACTATAACAAAATCATAGAAAACAAAGCTTTCCCAGGGAGACTCGTGGTGAAGTATAGGTGTTCCAAGATGTTGATCCTGAGTTCTTGAGGTGGAAAAACTGCATGAATTTCAACTTTTTCTTTTTTAACACCAGGACAGTTTTAATTCAGTTTTCCATAAGATTTTTAAAGTTCCCCAGTCCTCTTGGGTAAGGCAAAAGGGAAGTTACAACCAACCAACAATATCTGAGTGAGTGTTTTTTTGTGTGAGAAGCGGAGTTTTAAGATCTCATTCATAGCTGAGTATGTAGACTAAATATTGTTGATCATGTCTGATGTGTGTTGTGCTGCTCTTCTTCTTTGTTCAACATGCGCAGTGACGTGTTCTGTGGGTTTTTACTCTGCGCCAATCTCACTCGAGCTCCGCGTATTGGTCAGCTCCAGGGAGAGATCATCCCAACTTCCTTCTACCATCAAGGCCGGGTGATTGACTGCAGGTAACATGTTAAACATTGGAAAACCTAAGCAGGCATGAGCATTTCAACCCTCAGAACATCAGACTGAAAAGTGAAAACGCAAAGATTGTTTTTCAGTTCTTACAAAAGGGAAGTTTGTTTAGATTTTAGGACATGGATTTCATATTGAGAGTTAACTTAAAATACAAAGTTGAATTATCAGTCTGAAAATTATTTTTGCGCATAATTTTACTTGTTGGCTATAGTGAGGCTTTTTTAAAAGGATTTATTTATTTTTATTGGAAAGGCAGATACACAGAGAGGAGGAGAGACAGAGAGGAAGATCTTCTGCACCTGTGTGGAAAACCGGAGGAAGTTCCTGGCTGCTGGCCTCCGGTTTTCCACATGGGTACAGGGTCCCAAGGCTTTGGGCCATCCTCAACTGCACTCCCAGGCCACAAGCAGGGAGCTGAGTGGGAAGCAGGTCTTCCAGGATTAGAACCAACGCCCATATGGGATCCTGGCACGTTCAAGGCGAGACTTTAACCACTACACTATCGCTCAGGGCCCAGTGAGTCATTTTTGTAATCATCATCCTAAAAGTAGAATAGTGATATTCATCTCTGTGATTAATGTTTTAACACTGAAATACATCATTATTTGAACAGTTTTTTTTTCAATTTTATGACCAAAAAAAGGAGTTTAAGCTATACTTTCTACAGTGTTTATCTAGTTTAAAATACTGCTTAACAAAACATCTAATTACATTTTGAAAATAGTAAAATATCATTTATTGTTATAAGCAGATGTTTGATATCTAATTGTGTGTGAGTACAAGGCACATAGATGTGTGGTCTATTATTTATTAATTATTAGCCAGGGACTCTTGTTTCCAAAAAGTATTCCCTTCAAAATAGTCATAATTCTAAGATTGGCTCAAACACTTTGGCCATCCTACAGAACTGGTTTCTGTGTCCGCAAATTTATTTTTAGTAATTCTAAAATACCAAACCTTCATTTTATTTGAGTAAACATATTTGGAATGATCCAAATGTGAGTTTGAATACATTTTAGGACTAATTCTATCATGCTCAAATGTTTGCCATTTTTCTGACTTTTGAATGGTTTTAAAGGGATTTTGAAGAGAAGGTAGGACAATAAATTCTTCTGGAAATAAATTTGTGGTTTTCAGATTTAGTTACTTTCACGTATGCAGGCTTTCCTTGGATGTGTACATTTTCACATCTTTAGGTACGATATTATTGTTTTATGCTGTTATTTTATTATAGCCTAAATTGGCATATGTGTGAAATATGCAGCAAGATAATTATAATTATAGTAATGACATTCAAATTCAAGTTCTTTCTAACTTTCAAATTTTAGAAGTAACTATCAATACAGATGAAATGGTTTAGGTTTTGTGTGTGTGTGTGTGTGTGTGAATGGTCAGATCCTCTGGAGTAATAATACCAAATTTCAAAAATATTTCCATTTTCTATTTCTGCTCAACATTTTGCTTCTCTGTAGCATGCCACACCTGAAAGCATTAAGAAGCTAATGATATATTTTCTTCTTTTGTTGTTGTATCAACACATACACCCTAGTCTTATTGTTGGGTTGTGGAAATAAATGAAGGTTTAGAATAGTTATTTAAAGATATATTTATGTTTATTGGAAAGGCAGATTTACAAAGAGAAGTAGAGATAGAGAGAAAGATCTTCTGTCCACTGGTTCACTCTTTAAGTGGCTGTAATGGCCGGAACTGAGCTGATCCAACGCCAGGAGCCAAGAGCCTCCTTTGGGTTTCCCACATGGGTTCAGGGTCCCAAGGGTTTGGGCCATCCTCTACTGCTTTCCCAGGCTGCAAGCCAGGAGTGGGATGGGAAGTGGACCAGCTGGGACATGAACTGGCATCCATATGAGTTTCTGGTGTGTGCAAGGCAAGGATCTAGCTACTGAGCCATCACACTGGTCCCTAGATTATTTTTCTTATGAATAATGCTTTCCTGATGATGTGCACCGTAATAATTATGGGAAAGGCAGTAACTTTTTCATGCTCATCAATAAGAGGAAAGGGGAAAGAGTGGGAACATGCTGGGAGTAACTCAGGTTGACTGCCTCTTCATTTCCTGGAAGACAAGCTGCATGCATGTGGATGGTTTGTTTCTAAGTGTCGTGCTAATGATTATGTTGATATCTTCCTTTTTTTAGTGGTGCTCATGTAGTTTTAGATGATGATACAGATGTGGGCTACGTAGAAGATGGAACACCATGTGGCCCCTCCATGATGTGCTTAGATCGGAAGTGCCTACAGATTCAAGCCCTCAATATGAGCAGCTGTCCTCTTGATTCCAAGGGTAAAGTCTGTTCAGGCCATGGGGTAAGTAGATACCTATGTTCCGGCTGGAAGCATCCTCAGAGTTCACAGTAGATATTTCCAGTTTCATTCTCCTCTCATGGTTATGGCCAATTTTTTGTGCTGATTTTAACACATATTAGGATCTTTCTCTGCTAATACACTGTTAATTTTAAAGTTTTTTTTCTTGTAATATTGGCTATTCCTATTTACCACTTTCTCAACATAACTTGATATTAGTATCATTCAGGCATCTCCACAGAAACAAAACCAGTGGGAGATAGTTATCTGCCAAATCAATGCAGTTTTCTCAGAAATTGTCTCATGTGACTGTAGAGACTGGAAAGTCCCGCACTTGCCATCTCTATGATGGAGAAAATAGAAATCCTGTGCTGTCATTCAGTTTGAGACCAAAGGCAGAACTGGTAGAACTGCTGGAGTGAACAACCTGAATCCTCAGCTGGATTGCTCTGAGTGTTCCAGTCCCAGCAGTGAGGCAGGATAAACAAGAAGGTGGACTCCTTCCTCCTTCCGGCCCTTCGTATTTGGCATGATGCTTCCTCGCATTGCAGATAGCCATGGACCTATGAACTTTACAGAGTCTACTGATGCAAATGCTCAGTGAGCCTATTTTTTAGCTATGAGTATGATATGAGATCACCCTGAACTAGGTGTTGGGTAAATGATTTGAATCACAGGGTTGAGGTCACACAGTTATGCTTTGGACCATTGTCAATCAAAAAAATCTATGCCTGTTCTCGCCTGCATATCTCTTGAATTCTGAGAGCAAAATGTTTGAACAGATTGTCCTAACTTTTGCAAACCTAGACTTCATATCTAAAAATGAATTTTAATAAAATATTTAGTAGATTAGAATTAGCAAAAGAAAGGGTTTTCAAATATCCGTATAGACAAGAAAGAGAAAAGAGACTTGAAGAAACAGAGCAGCCATCAAAAAGGAAGATGCTAAAACGAAGACAAAATTATTGCAAATTAGATTGGTAAGTACATGATAGAAAAAGGTGGAAAGACCCAAGAAGCTGTGCCAACTACTGTCTAAGGTGTGAGGTTTGGTTGAATTATAGACTTATAGGAAATAAAACTGATTAAGGTCATAAATTTGGGAGCTGAAGAATCATGGGTTTGAATCCTAATTTTGCTGCTTGCAGTCCAAGGGACTTTTGGTAAAGTCTCTTTGTCTTTAGAAATATTAAATGAGATGTACCTGGATCTTAGTCATTTTTGCATTAAAGCAAAATCACTGGGTAACCTTTTCAGTTATTTCAGCTGTTGTTGTAGCAACATAAAACTTAATGGTATAAATGAATCCTTCCTTCCTACTACTCTCACTTTTTAATCTTTTTTTTTTCAAAAATTATTTGTTGGAAAGAGTTACACACACACACACACACACACACACACACACACACACTCGGAAAGAGAAAGACAGAAAGAAACAGAAAGATCATGATCTCATCACTTTTTCATCTTGATAAAAAGAGGTTGAATCCAGCCTTGTTAATGATAGTCATGATATTATAACTTCACAGCCCAAAAAGCTTACAAGTTTGATTTTATCATCTTTAATCATCTAGCTCTGAGATTATTTCACAGAGGGACTAGGGTTTAAACTTCATGTCTGCTTTTCAAATAACTGTTTAAGATTCAAGTTCATTCCAGCCTACAGCCTGGAACCCAAGGGTAGAGAGATGAGGCACAGATTCCCCTGGATTCTTCCTTCTGGCTGGAACAAAGAACAGCTCAGGACGTGGTAGTGAAGGTGGGAGGGTTGCTACTTGGCAGGGAAAGTGCCACCAAATGAGTTGTTTTTGGATGTGGTGAAAGAATGCAGTGTATTGCTGACTTAGGTATCCTTTTTTAATGCTTCTTGGGCCCAAAATCTTTCACCTCTGGCAGTGACCTGTGCATTTGTTAAGTTAAGCATATATTCTTTTGAAGTATGTTCCTATTAACAGCTGCTTCTGAAGAAACTACCCTGTCCGACATTTGTGTTCCGTAATGTCAATATGTATTGTTCAAATTTAATTTTAAGATATCTTGTTGTTGATATTTATTTTTTCTATAATTAGTAAAATATCATTCAGCAATATGATCTGTACGTTGTTTTCCCATGTAGTGTAAAACCATAGGAAACTTCAAAAGCTACCGATGGTTTTCTGTTTCCCCCTTGCTCGTGTGTGACTTGCATTTTTCACTGTGATTCTGCAAAGCTCAATGAAAAAGCCCATTCTCTGCTCTTGTTTTCCTGATAGGTGTGTAGTAATGAAGCCACGTGCATCTGCGATTTCACCTGGGCAGGGACAGACTGCAGTATCCGGGATCCGGTTAGGAACTTGCCCCCGCCAAAGGATGAAGGACCCAAGGGTTTGTGTGATTTCAGTTTCCATTCATTTCAAACTGAGCTCATTATGACTTTCGCAGTACAGTGATACAACTCTCTCATGGATTTTGTAGGATTCACATTAGAATTTCTGTCTTGCCATTAAATCTATGATTCATGTTACTGCAGCATTGAGGATTCTATGCATATTATAGTTAAGGAAATGTGTTTGAATGCCCTCCTTACTAGAACTGAGATTAGGAAGAAGTAAATATGCAGATTTCTATTAGTTCTATTTTCCTTTCTTAAAAAAAAAAACTCTTTTCCCCCCATAATTACAAATACCAATTATTTATAGTTTTTCTAAGCCATGTTAGTTCTCTATTAGTAACAGAATCCTTTTAGCTTACATGAAACTCTCATCATTTCTATTTGAATCCCTCCAGAGGGAAGTCGTAGCCTTCTTCCATGTTCTTTTGTATAATTAAGAAGGAATTGGAGTACTCACAGGCCTTTAATTCTTCAAAGAAGACCTTGTGTTTAATCACTGGTTGAAGATAGAGAAGTTAAAGTTGTCACTTAGGAGTGTCCGTGTCTTCCAGTTTTACAGTTGAGAATGCTCAGTCCCTGGTGGCATGTGGTGTATCTGGCTCTCCAGGTGATGAGAGCTGGGGCTGGGGCCAGGATTCTGATTCCAGTGTCACACTTCTGTCCATTGTATCACTTTATAATACAGTCAATGCTGTCATGAATAGGATCATCAGATCCTCATTTTTCTCTCTGTTTTCTATCCCTGATATTATTCTTAAAGATCTGGAAAAGTCGTTCGTGGCAATATGCTTACTCTAATATTTCTGGTATTGTACCTGAGAAACCAAGGAATACTTGAAACAAGTTCAACATACAATAATTTTGATGTATATCCTCTTCTCATGGTACTGCTAAGCTATTTTTTTTTATAAATAACTACAATGTTTTTCATCTACAGATAGGAAAATACATTCAGAAATAGTAGAATTTTGAACTGCTTACTTTGCATGAATACTCATTTAAACTGTACTCTGGTGTAGTTTGTATGGGAAAATATTGCTCCAAAAGCAGACAGAGTTCCATCGTCCTCAGTTCCTGAAGAGTGTTAGGGTGATTCAGTTGCATGTGACTTGCTGGGTAATAGTGGGTGTGCTAAATTACATTTTTTGCATTTATTTTATATGCCCATGAGCTAAAAATTGCATAAGAATCATAATCATCCTCTCACCATCTATTTCTGATCTGTTTCTATAAGGGAACCTATTGCACTTTTACATTTCGTCTTTTGTTACTTAAAACTGGAACAAAAAAATTCTTGGCTCCATCTTTAGTAGTTAGATAAAGACTCTGACAAGAGGGTCACTTTTTCTCAAATCTTTCCTTAGTCAGTCTGTGATATTTTTAAAGATCTAGAGAATATTTCCTCATGGGAGGTTTAATGTTCCCTGGGCAAAGGGCTCAACAGACACAGAAGCAGAGCCAAGTTTGCTTGCACTCTGTCGTTGTAACCCAGGTAGGGTAGGGGATGATTTTTTGTGGCTATCTGGTGTTCGTTTCTTCACTCGTCTGTCCCCAGAGTTGGAGACACAAGCATCTATTTCTGAGAGAAGTTTGCATTTTTTTTTTGTTTTGATTTTTCCTCAAGAATGTTTTGGTATTTGTATTATCTTTTAAAAATAACCTCTTGGATCATTCAAGTAATAACACATTTAACGTAGAAAACTTTGGAAGGACAAAAAAGATTAAAAAGAAAATAAATCACTTTTAACTCCTTGACATAACTAAAAACAAACAATACAAGCACTCTTATATGTTACATCCTATGTTTTCTCTTTTCATTGTTAATGAAGACAATGGAATTATTATAATTATTAGTTGGTTCTGAAACTGTTAAAATTCTTGTTACTCTCCAGTAATTTTGATTATGTTGAAGATAGCTCATTGATGTAAGTAAAGATCAAATATTTCTTTAGATTATTGTATCCAGGAAAGCACTTTTAAGACAACTAAAAACTCTATCCATGAGTGATTTATAACTTTTAATCTCGATACAATTTAATATTTAGTAAAATGGGAAACAAAAAACCATGCATTTTAATATTTTGTTACAGGTTTTGTAATTTTATTCTGATATTTGGTTAAAAGAAGTTGCAGAGAAAGAATTTATAAACTTTACATTTATTTTCATTTTTTTTGTAAATGATGACTGTATATCTTTAAAAAGATTTATCTGTTTATTTATTTGAAAGACAGAGAGAAGGAGAGACGGAAAGGGGTCTCTCATCCACTGGTTCACTCCTCCAGTGGCCACAGTGGCTCCAGAAGCCAAGAACAAGGAGCTTCTTCTGCGTCTTCCATGTGATTGTAGGGGCCAATGCACGTGGGCGATCCTCCACAGCTTTCCAGCACGTTATCAGGGAGCTGTAACAGAAGTGGAACAGTGAGGACTTGAACTGGAACCCGTATGGATTGCCAGCACCATAGGCAGTACCTAAACCTGTTACACCACAGCACTGGTCTCCTGACTGCCCACTTTTTAAAAGGACACATCCCTGCTACATAGTCAGTACTCTATGCAAAATATCTCTCATTCTTTTGGGAATATGTAAAGAAAATTAAATGTTTCATTAGTACTAATTTTTGGCTTATCCCTATCCATTTGCTGTATTGCCTGGCTGAAAAGCAACAGGTAATTAATACAATGTATTGGATGAATTATTGCATTCTTAGCTCGTAGGTTTAGCAGTGCAAGGTACCGATGTTTTTATAACTACACATTGTACCTTCTTTCTTATGATGCACTTAGTTTGATTAGCACCTGCCATATCAAGCACAGTGTTTTGGCCTTCACCAAATATTTCACATTTGTGTTGAGCACCACTCAACATTTGTAGAGGAAGGCTTTCTGTGTAGAAAGAATGAGAAGTTATAGGAAAATAGTAGTTTGATTTACTTTTAGCATATTTCTTGATGTGGACAGAAAATTTCAAGGATAATAATAAAAATGTTTGCCTTTTAAAACAAAGATTTGCTTATTTGTTTATTTGAATTGTCAGTGTTACAGAGCCAGGGAGAGACAGAGAGAAGCTTTCCTCTGCTGGTTCACTCCCTAAATGGCTTCAATGGCCCAGACCAGGCCAGCTGGATTCAGAAGACCGGGACTCCATCTTGGTCTGACATGGGATGCAGGGGCTCAGGCTTCTGGGCCATTTTCTGCTGTTTTGCAGGTTGCATTAGCAAGAAGCTGAGTGGAGAGTGGAGCAGCTGAAACTCAAAACAGTGCTCATTTGGGATGCTGGTGTTATATGCAGTGGCTTAACCTGCTATACCCATGCTGGCTGCAAATACATACCTTCTTGAAATCACGAGCATGGGTATAAAAGACAGCTTATGCCCAATTGCTGCCCTTTGTGTCAAGACTAAATTAGTACACATAATGGTTAATTCTGTAATTCTGTAGCCTTTGATTTGAGAATGTATCAATTTGAAAAGGTAGGAAATGAACCTATCTGTTTGTATATTACTTTGTTTTAACTGTAAATTCTTGGAACAAAAAGAAATACAGCTTCTCCATCTGGGTAGTTGTGATTTATTGACAGGGCAATTGTGTCTTTCACTTGCTACAATTATCAACTAGTATAAGGATGCTAGACAGTTCATTCCAACATCTCAAATCAAAATTATTCAAAGGCAAGAAATTGAAACTTTCTTTGGTACACTATTTTTCCTCCATTTTAATTATTTCACATGGAAAAATCCTTCTTGTTCCTGTCCTCTCCGTTTGTTTCCGTTAAAGTCACTGAAGGAGATATTTGGTTTGTTCTTCAAGGATGGGGTTTTCTTACCTCTTCTAAAAAGACCTAGATTCTGGGCCCAGTGTGGTGGCTTAGTGGCTAAAGTCCTTCCCTTGAAAGCACCGGATCCCATATGGGCACTGGTTCTAATCCCAGCAGCTCCACTTCCCACCCAGCTCCCTGCTTTTTTCCCAAGAAAGCAGCGGCCCAAAGCCTTAGGACGCTACACCCACATGGAAGACCCAGAGGAGGTTCCTGGCTCCTGGCTTCCGATCAGCACAACTTTGGCCATTGTGGTCACATGGGGAGTGAGTCATTGGATGGAGGATCCTTCTCTCTATATATCTGACTTTGCAATAAAAATAAATAAATCTTAAAAAAAAAAGACCTAGATTCCCACATATAATAGGGAGGCCTATGTTAAACACCTTTAAATTTTGCCAAATTGTAGACACCTCTGCCTAGTGTTTGTTATGGAATACAATGCAGGCTTTTGAATCATCATGGAAAGTGGGAAGAGAAGAAACTTGCACTTGCCAAATGCTCCCAGTGATGTGTCTGGGTCAAGGTAATTCTTGGGAAATTTGTCAGACCCCATCGTCATGGCCATCATCACAACACCAGGTGGAATGTGACTTCTCGGCAATTTGGTGCAGGCTAATTTTTCTGGAACTGAGAGAACTAAATTAATTGTGAGGGTTAGCAGTCACTTACTGGGAGATCCAGGAATAAAATGTGGTCACGTGATCCTGAGCCCCCTGTTTTTGAACTGCATTATTTAAATCTGAGGATTTAGTGATGCTGCCAGTGCTAATAGCTCAGTACCGAGGAAGAAACAACAGCCACGTGATAACTAAGCTTATTAGCCAACTCATTGTTTTACCCTTTGGTCTTATTATGTGTGTATAATAGAGGGAAGTATTGTATTACTAGCATTTAGAATGCCACAGAAAGAGTTCTTTACTGAGTGTATTTATGTTCTGCATCTGTTATTTTGGTGATTTTTGTGTGTGTAGCTGTCTTTTATTTTGATGTTCAGATGATTAGTTTTAAGACATCATGATTATCTTAGATTGACTATGTTCTTATATAATTACATGTCACCTGGGGCTTTCCCTCATTACCATGGTTACACCAATAACTTAAAGATTTAGCCTATCTAAAAAAATGTTAGTATTTATGAATTTATCTTGTTCGAGTTCTGAATAACTCTGATATTT